CCACTCCAGAAATGAGCTCCTTCTTCCTTGCTGGTGAGAATCAAATCCAGAACAGAAGTTTCCCTCTAGTAGTTTGTCCACTGTTTGAGGAATGAAAATATTAAGGCAAGTAAGAAAATTTTAGTGACTCCTTGAAGGCAAAGAGCTCCCACAGATCTCCAGATAATTGAAGTTCACAACTACTATCCCAGACTTGTGTTCTGTTTCCTGAAATCTTCAATATTTCCCATTTCTGTTTCTATTATAACCTGAATACTCTCCTTGTTTACCACCGCTAGTTCCTAGATTTTCCTTGAACTAATATAAAAACTTTAAACAGCACTAAGATTTTAAGGGGAGCAGCTGGATGACTCGACTCAGTGGATAGAGCCCTGGGCCTGGAGTCAGGAAACTTGAGTTCAAATCTTGTCTCAGACACTAGCTTTGTGACCTTAGGTGAGTCATTTAACCTCTGTTTGCTTAGGAGACAGTTAGGTAGCTCAGTGGTTAGAGTTAAGAAGACCTGAATTCAAATGTGACCTCAGACACTTGCCAGCTGTGTGACCCTGGACAAATCACTTAACCTGTTTGCCTTAATCTGTTGGAGAAGGAAATGACAAATCACTCCAGCATCTTTACCAAGAAAATCCCATTGACAGTATGGTCCATGTGATCAGGAAGTCAGACACAACAGAATAACTGAACAACAAGACTTTTAAGACACCCTGTTTATCTTAATATATAGTGGTGCTCCCTGTGGGTCTCCCCTTCCCCGCCTTTTTTTTCCTTTCCCTGTCCTTTTGAATGTTTACATTTCCAAAGCCATAATGCAGTCAGGGGTCACATCACAGGAACAAGTATTATTGACAATTATGAAGCCAAATTTGCCCGGTTTCTTTAGGATTTCTTGGTTACCTTACTTTGTAGTCATATTTGGGTTATTGTATAGAGATGTTGGGAGACCATGAGTTTTGTTGCTGACTTTTTTCTTAATTTTTTTCTCCTGTCAGTTTCTGAATGTTTTTATTGCTATTCTGTGTTGTATTTTTCTTGTAGTATCTGATCAGATTTTACATATGCACTTCTTCCTGTTTTAAAGCCATTTGGAGGTGGGGGAGAGGTAATACATAGAGAGATAGAATTAGAATTTCATTTTGTTTGAACACAGCAGATACTTTACAATAAACGTGCAGACAAATCCCTTAATTACATTCCCCAGGAAAACAATTTCATTATTAATTACAGAAAATTTATGTTCTTTAACTTTGTCAATACAGTATGATACTAAATTTAACCAGGTATATAACCAAAGTTTGTTACTTTCTTGATTTGCATTGTTGCGGTAATTGTGTGTATAGTTTTCCTCCATCTGCTTGCCTTTTTTTATTCTTTATTTCTTTATTTTGGTGAGAGGCAATCAGGGTTAAGTGATTGAGGCCGGATTTGAACTTAGTTCCTCTTGACTCCAAGGCTGGAGCTCTATCCACTGTGCCACCTAGCTGCCCCTTCCATCTGCTTTCTTCAGTCTGCATCATTCCTACAGTTGGCCTGGAATTTGTTCAGCCTTTCTAAAGATAGCATGTCCATATTTTGTTTCCAGAATTTTATTATTACAAGTAAGATTGTTGTGCATACTTTTAAGTACCTGTGTGTCTTTCTTGATATCATTCCCTAGTATATAATCCACAGATTGAAGTCACTGGATCAAAGGGTAAGAACACTTTAGTAACTCTTCTTGCACAATTTCAAATTGTTTTCCAGACCAGCTGAATCAGTTCACAGCTTTAGCAGTGAATCAGCGTGCTTGCCTCTTCCTGTGTCTTCTACAATGATGAGTTTTTCTATATGTTGGTATCTTTGCAATCTTGTGAGGTTGTTTTACCTTGTATTTCTCTGAATTTTTAGCAGTTTAGAACATGTTTTTCAGGTGGTTGATGATAGCTTGCTTTTGTCTTTTGAAAACCATTTGTCTTCTTTTACTTGTCCATTATGGATTGGCTCTTAGTCTTTTATAGTTGTGCTGATTCTATATAGAATTTTGTATGTCAGACACATCAAAAATGTGTAATGCAAAGGCTTTTCTTTTTTCCCCTCTCAATCCCAAATATTTTCCTCTGATTACAGCAGCATTTATTTCATCTGTGAAAAACTTTTTAATTTTACACGATAAATCCTTTTTGTCTTGTGACAAAATCACTCATTTTGTATATATTTTTATATGTACGTATTGTTTCTTTTTATAGAATGTAATCTCATTAAGGGCATGAGCAGTTTCTTTTTTTTTCCCCTTAATCTGAAGAGTGATTCAAATCCAGATCTTTTTGACTCCAAGTCCTTTAATCTATCCACCACAGCCAACTACTTAAATTTCACTGGAAGAGAAAACACATTAACATTTAAATATAGACAAAATAAGTTATTTTGGAGGGAAGGGGGAGCAGGTAGGGAATGGAAAAGAATCAGAAAGGTCTTATGTAAAACAAATCATTTGAGCTAATCTTTCAGGGAAATTAGAGATTGTAAGAAGTAATAGGGAGGAATGCATTCTAATAGGAAAAGGATGTACTAGGGGAAAAAATTGAAATTGGAGTCAGAGGACCTGGATTCAAATCCTGGCTTTGATGTTTAAAGATGTGATAGGAGGAGTTATCTACCAAATTACCTGTCTTGTAAAAATGGACTCTGGTTTATTTGCCAAATTTTAATGAAAAGACTTGATTGGCTCAGGGGGCTAAGAAAGCAGCAAGACCAGAAAGAGTCAGTGGCCCTCATACTTGTATATGTCTGACTGCTATATGAGTTATCATACCCTGCTGATTATAAATGTTTCCCTAGAGATAAGGGGTGTCATGTCTACCTGAACCAGTGCTATATCTTGATAAGAATCCTTTCCATGCTATTCCTTTCTTAAACCTCAACAACCAAACTGGCCTGAATCAGGTAGCTTATAGGACCTGGGCTGAATCACACAGTCAGTCTCTGATTTTCAATCTCTCATCTGTAAGTCATGTATTATAGTCCCTTCTGACTCAAAAATACTATGATATAATGTAATCCAATACCCATAGCATACTATTTAAAAGGCACTATTATTAGGTTCTTGGGGTACAAAGAAAAAGTAAAGAAACAGTCCTGCCCTCAAAGAACTTAGATTCTACAAGAGGCATACACCATGTCAATAGAAAAGGTATACATAATAAACTGAAGAGGATGAGAGAGCCTTCCTATCCCAGTGGGCATCTAAACTGAGCCTTGAAGGAAAATAGGAATTCTAAGAGGGAAGAATGTGGAGAAAGAACCTAGAACCTTCCAATGGCATAGAGCAAGAGATGGAATGGCAAGATTAGGGAACAGCAAGTAAGCCTAATTTAAATTGGCATGTAGAATGCATGAAGGTGAGTCATGTTCAATATACCTAGAAAGGCAATCTGAGGTCAGACGTTATAGGACTTCCAGTGTCAAACAGAGGATTCTATATTTTACTTTGGGAGCAGTAAAGAACCAGTGAAGCATTTTTCATCATGATTCCTTTGAAATTGTCTTGGATCCCCATATTGCTGAGAATAGCAAAGGCATTAACAGTTGATTTATTGAACAATATTGCTGTTACTGTGTACAGTGATTCTGCTATGAGAACCTTCTTGTTTGTTTGTTTGTTTTTGGTTGGGCAATGGTGTTAAGTGACTTGCCCAGAGTCACACAGCTAGTGAGTGTTATGTGTCTGAGGCCGGATTTGAACTCAGGTCCTCCTGAATCCAAGGCTGGTGCCCTATCCACTGCCCCATGTAGCTGCCCCATATTAGGACCTTCTTAAAGAGGACAGAACTTGATCCTTTGAAGATGAAGTAGTACCTTGGCTTTATAATTGTTATTAGGTGAGGTAACACCCAGTACAGTCAGAGGTGGGGTATGAGCCTCTGCTGAGTGATACTTAGGTATCTATTTGCTAACCTAACAACATCTGAGAAGTCTGTTGTCTTTTTCAAAGCATATATCCATTTTTAGTTTAGATCTTATTGCTAAAGATTACAAAGTATTGGGCAAGAAACCGAAGACCTTGAGACACAAATGGCCTTTTCATCACTGCTGCCAAAGACTTCAGAAAAGATATGGGAAGTAAACAACTAGTTAAGAAGATAGTGTTTGAGAACCAAAAACAATGAGGACTGGAACACACCCAACGAGAGCTGGTTATAACATATTTGCCTACAGTCCTATAAATCTAGTCAAAAGGAACAAACAGAAAAATAGAATTCCTGGAAAACTATATTAGCTTTAGATCATCTTATACTTTTATACTGTAATATATTCCAAATGTACTCCAAATGGATAGGGATTCTAAATATAAAGAGGTCATAATATTAATTAAAAAAAATAATAAAAAGCAGGGAAGGGGGGAGGGGATTTCATAACCAAAGGAGAGGAAAAAAAATCTACCAGGAAGCATTTATTAAATGTATGCTGTATGCCAGACATTGTGCTAAGTGCTTCGTGGTTTGCAAAGTACTTTTCTCACAACAGCCCTATGGAGTAGTAGAAGTAGTAGTATCCCAGTCTTATGCATGAGGAAACTCAATATAGAAGAAGTTGAAGAATTATCCAGTTAATACATTCTAGAGCTAAGTAAGAATTGAACCCAAATCATCTCCATTCTAGTGCTCTTTCTATACATGAAGGATTGCTTTGAAATGAGACATGGGTGACTCCAGGGAGTCCTGTGAAAGATATGAGCAATTGAGGAAAATTTTTACCTTAAGCTGAATATATACATAATATACACACACACATGATATACATATATTTATAATAGTAGAAATAATAGTAGAAACACTCCACGTATTGGTTATATTTGGAGGTATTTCTTGATCACAATCCTGTCTAAACTAAAACTGGTTAAGATTTTGTTCATTTCCCTATAACTAAATCTGTAGAACCACTAACTTGACTTCCTTTTTCAAACTAGACAGAAGCAATAAATATAACATTATAGTTAATGAACTTCCATTTTTTTCAATTTATAGGATGTTGATGCTACAAACCCAAATTACGAAATCATGTGTATGATCAGAGACTTTAGAGGAAGCTTGGATTATAGACCACTTACAACAGCAGATCCTGTAAGTTTACTGGACTAAATTACTAATGGGCTTATTTAAATATGGCATATGTAGCTTGTAGTTGCCATTAAGTTTTTAATTTTTAAGTTCATGAATATAGTGCTCATTAAATTAATATGTTCCTTTTTCTTCCCTCATGTTTTCTTTTCTCTTACATGTTTAAAAGAAGAGCAAGAAAACTGTTTCCCCACATAATTTTTAGTTTTCTTCCAGCTTGAAATAATAATAACCACAGCACCAGTGGACTTTTTAAGTAAAATTCCCTTTCCTTGCCAGGCCAGATAAACAATTAAATTATAATGAATGTAGGGGGAAGTAATGGAGTGACAGTAGTGGGTGAGATGTATAAGGAAGAAGTAATAGAATTTAGTCTTCTATGTATGTGTCTGATGTCCACTTCCTTCTCTTCCTTACCAGCCACACTTATATTTCTTTTCTTACTAATTGTTATGTGCTTGATGTTGTAAGCCTTTTATGCCTGTTAATATATTTTCATTCACCTTGGGCGCTTAATTAACATTTTGTTTTAGTAAATGGAGGTGAAAATTGAATTTTTAATGAAGGATACAGAAGGTGGCAGGAGACATGGATTTAGTTAATCAAGCAGTTCTCTTCAGTCTCTACTAATTTCACCATTTTATAATGAAACTATCAGGACAAAAAGGGAGATAATTCTGTCACTAACATTGGTACTTATTCAAAAGAATCCAGCTGAACACCTGATTTGAACATATGTGTTTGTGGGATTATAAAACATGTATTTTGTATTGGGCCAACTTACAGGAAGAAAAATAAGTATGCCAGAGCTTAATGATATCTAATTTGATATATACATTATGATCCCTGTATTTTTAGGACTTTGTCCCTTGTATATATCAATACTGTATCAAACGTGTTTAAAATAATCATTATAATCAAAAGGAAACAATTGCATTAATTAATTAAATATATTAACCACATAAATGGAGCTTTCTAAAGGATCCTAATACTTTCAAAAGTTAAAAACTAAGGAGGTTAGGTTCTGTACTAGATTAGTCATGCCAACCTGAATTCAGGAGAAAACAGCTAGTAAAGTAAAATGGAAGTCTTTAATTGGAGCAAGTGAGCTGTAGTTCTGGGTGCCACACAGCAAGTGCTGGAGTACCCAAGGAGGGGACTGGGAACAGTCTGCTAAGGCAGAGGAAATGGCCAGGCTGCAGGTGGGAGGAGTTAGGGGCAACTCACTATTTCACCAGGTAAGTTGTTTTGCATAATGAGCAAAAGTTCATGGATAAAACTTGGAAATCTCTGTAAGGAAGATTTTGGGATATTTGCAAAATTAGTCAGAGGCTGGGAGTGGTAATGTCTGGTCAGACTCAGGCAATTCATGGGTCTGGGAATGGGGACAAGGTCAGAATCAATAATCTGAGGGTTTTTTGTTTTTTACAATCATGTGAGTTTGACAGGCAATTTTGAGTAAGAGAATAATATGATAAAACTGATGTTTTAAAAACATTAATCTGGCAGTGATGTTACAATATACTTTGGAGTTTTAAGACCAGTAGGTTAAGGGGCTCTTATAGAAATCCAGTGTTTTTTTAAAAATTGGAAATGTTTTGTCATTGAAAGATAACTGTTCTCTATGTAAAAAATAAGAGGTAAGAAGATATAAGCATTCATTTACAATTTTTCTGAATTAGATATGGGATTGGTAATATTTGCCATGGAAAGTAATGGTTAAGAGTAGAAGAGACAAAACCAAATTAAAGGTCAATGTGTTGTAGTGGAAAGCACAACGGGCTTAGAGTCCAGAACAGCCAGGTTTTTAACTAGCCATGACTTGAGCAAGTCTCTTCATGTTTCTGAGCTGCAGTTTCCTCACATAGTACAGGGATTTGGACTTCTATGTTCTGTATCATCTCTTGACGCTGTCAGTCCAACAGCTCACATAGTACTTTGCAGTCTACAGAGCTTCTTCCTCATTGTCCTATAAGGTAGGAAATACAAATATTCCCATTTTACAGAATGGTAACTTGAGAGTGAATGTTAGGTTGGCTTCTCCTGGATTTTGCAACTACTAAGTTGTATGATTTGTTGTAAGTTGTAAGATTTGAGTCCAGGTTTTCTGATTCTCTGTCCAGTGTTCCTTCCATTATACTGTATTGCCTCTTGAAAGGAGGAATTAATGGTGACAGAATGGAGACAGCAGATGTAGATAACTTTTTAAAGTAGTTTAGTAGTTGAAAGTAAGAATTATAATTTTAAGGGATTAGCAAGTTAAAAAGGAAGAGTTCCCCCCCCACACCACCACCACTCCATTATATCATGTGAACTCATGTGAGTCTCTATGGAGTCAAGAAGGGTTAGAATCTAGGAAAGGGGTAAATGAGTTTGCTTCAGATAAAACAAGCTGGTCTTAATTTCTCTTGGAGTAGAGACAAAGTGAAATGGATGGTTATAGAGACCAAAATATACAAGAATAAGAGATGGGAGAGTTCACAGTGGAAAGCTCCTGTCATCTCATGAAAGAAGAGACAAGGTTAGCTGCTGAGCTAGGGAGATGGAAAGGGGGATTAGAATTGGGAATCTGAAGAGAATGGAAAAAGTTTAGAACAGTCACTGATCATGAAATTGAGTGTCTCATTCAGTGAACTGCAACCACCTCCCCCCAATATAATTTTGCATACATCTTTGCTATTTCAAAAAGTTTTCATTTTCACTTAGATTTAGGTTATCATGTATCTTTCTTAATGTCAGGTAAGACATAGACCTTTAAGTGAACCAAATGGTAAAATGTGCAATGCAATTCTCCACAGAGCTGTTTTTCAGGTTTGTAGTTTAAGATGAGGTTCTTTCTGTTGTACGCATTCATAGAGCCATTTATGTGCTCTAACATATAAATGTGTAATGTGCTTTATTTTTAAGTTTACAGCAACTTTTTTTAATGTTTAGTACAAATTTCCAAAAATCTACAGGAGTTCTAGATTACTTTAAAATGTTCCACCTATCACGTCATAAAATAATCATTATTGAAATTATTTTTCTTACAGATTGATGAACACAGAATATGTGTTTGTGTAAGGAAACGACCACTCAATAAAAAAGGTAATGCAATCTTACAGATCTGTTTTGTCTTGTTTTGCTATTGTTACTAATTCATTTGGCAGACAAAAAACTCTGAATGCCTTCCTTTTGTATGTTCTTAACCTTAGAATGTAAAGTGTGAAATAAATATATACATATATGTATGTATGTATATAAAGAGAGAGAAAAGAGTATTTAAAAAGTTTAAATGGTGAGGGCATGATACTGCAAAGATGATTTTATTGTCGTCCTGCCAGTGATCCCCATTCTGAGTTCTTCCGTCCTTAGCAACAGCGTTTTAAAATCATAGACTCATAAGAGCCTTGGAGTTGGAAGACATGTTTAAGGTCATCTGGTCTAGCCTCCTACCAAATGTTTTCCTTCTGAGTTTTAAAAAGTCCTTTATAATGGAGCTGTGACAGAACAAAATCATAATTGTGCTTAGGGTTATTTCTGAAAGGCCTCACTTCCCGCCACATGGGAAAGCTCTCCTCCATAGAAGGCAGAAATCTGAGAAAGAGACCCTTTCCCCCTGCTGCCTTTCTGCTTGTCATTGTGCATTGAAAATCAAAATACTGCAGTACTATGTGCTCTTCCCAAACTCTAGTAGATGATTTGGATTTTATTGTTGCTCCACAATCTAAATGCTTAAAAGGCTCAAAAATAAGCCAACCTAGTTAAATTGGTAACAGGACTTCCTTCTCTCAAAATATATTAAATATTCTTCCATCTGAAATAGAGAAGGTCCTTGATAGTAGTATCCACTCTTTCAATCTCCACAATCAGGATGTGGTATTTTGTTTTTTGTCTAGCTCTACAATTTCATTGGTATAGTGAATTTCCTTCTGAAAACTCTTACTCTGCCCAATGAGGATCTGTACCTGCTGGATAATTTGTAGTGTTAAATGGTTGCCTGGGCTCTCTGTTTATTACTCTTCTGCCTTCCTAGAATTTCTCCCCTCAGGTCCTGTAGGTCAGTCTGCTGGGATGGCACAGAGAGTGTCAGACAACTTTGAGTTGGAATGAACTACCATCTACTTTCCCTTCAGACTTTTTAAGCTGTCTGCTATATTCCTTATTAATCTTCCCTTTTCCAGGCTAAGCCCTTGAAATTGACATAGAGCTATTAAACAACGCTCTGATCATTTAACTTTTTTTAGTCACCCATATTTCTCCATAATAACCACAAAAAAAGACCGTGTCAAATGCCTTACTGAAATTGACTCTTGATGTTTACTCAAATTAAGCCCTTAACTTGACCTTCAAAGTGTGTAGTCTGTGACTACTTTCAGTATTCTGTTCGATTTATTTTTGGAGATTTTTGTGATACTTTTCTTTCTGAGTCCTTAATGTTATCTACTAAACAGTTATCTACTTTTTTGTATATCACAGTTAGTTGAATGTGTCCAGTGAACGTGACAGAATACTGATTTGTTTCATTTACTCTTTTTAGAGACGGTAATGAAAGACCTTGATGTAATCACAATCCCGAGTAAAGATGTTGTGATGGTACATGAACCAAAACAAAAAGTGGATTTAACAAGGTACCTAGAAAACCAAACGTTTCGTTTTGACTATGCCTTTGATGACTCAGCTCCTAATGAAATGGTTTATAGGTATGTAAATGCTTTTTTTGTGAATTTATTTTCTATTTTTATTATTGGTGCTCATTTTTACCTTAAAAGATACATTTCTTCTTGCAGATTTCTTAATTGGTCTATTAAATTCTCTTAACTCTGTCCTGAGTTTTAAGTGTAAAATAGAAGAACTACCATACTAATGCAAACAAAAGTACTTTTTTGTTTTTGATGAAACCTGTGGATCCATAGTCTACCTAGTTTAGTGTAGTATCAGATTTTAAAGCATATTCTGTTATCCTTCATGATGTAAACTTCAGAAAGTTAAGGATGTATCCCAGGTATTCTTTCTTCCAGTGGATAATAATGTATTAGTGAATAATCTGTCAGTCATCTATGATTTTATCTAGTAACCTGAATTTAAAAATAGTAATAATAGCTAGCATTTACATAATGCTTTAAGGTATATATATAGCATCTACCTGAAGGAATTGTTGTGAGCTTCAAATGAGTGTGTATATATACATATAATATCACATAGGTAATGTAATATAGGTACATACATATATGTGTACACATACACACACTCATCTGATCCTCACAGCAACCGCTTTGAGTTAGGTGCTATTATAATTCCTTTTGCAGAGGAGGAAACCGAGGCTTAGTCTAGTGACTTTCCCCATGTCATACAGCTGATGAATATCTAAGCCAGGTCTTCCTCACTCTAAGTCCAGCACTATCCACTGTGCAACCTAGATGTTTTAAAATGCTTTGTGTAGTCCTTTAAAATTTATACAGTGCTTTACTAAATTGTCATTTAATACTCACAAGATGAGAAAATTGAGATGGCCTTTGTGTACAGGCTCTTCTGTCACTTCTATTTCTTAAGATCCTTAGCTGTCAGTTTCACCTCAGATGCCACAACCTGCTGGAAGCATTTTCTGACATCCCTCTCCCTTGTTATTATCCTTAAATTTCCTTGTGTTTACCTGTGTACATATTATATCTTTCTCACTAACAGCTAAGCGCCATTAGGACTAGGACTGATTTTTCTTTTGTCCTTATATCTCTAGGTTCTAGCATGGTATTCCACATGTAGTTGGTGAGATGGATGGATAGATAGATATAGGTAGATAGATAGATATCCTTAATATAGTTTGTATATAATTTTTTGCATGATATCTGTCCCCTTAGACTGTATGCCCCTGTAGAGCCGTGTCTGGGTTTTTTTTTTTTTGGTTGGTTGGTTCGTTTTTGGCCTTTATATTCCTGGCACATAAATACATAAGGACATGGTAGTTACTTAGTAAATATTGCTAGTGGGATTTGAAACTGCAAGTGTTTCCTGACTCTTCAGCCATTTTCATAAGAGTATTTATTTTCAGTATGTATTACCCCTTCAGAGAAAAGTCTCCTAAACCTACTTTTAATTGACTTAAACCTAGGTCTTAAAAGCTTTAAGGGCTGTCACTTCAAATTTCCTAGATTTTGTAAAAATTGTTATTCACCCTGATTTTGTTCTTCATGATTTTTCAGATATTAATTCAGATATTAATCATAGCTCCCTCTTAGTCTCCATCTTTTCAAGTTGAAGAATTATAAATTCATTGATCAGTCTTCCTGAAAAGATTCTCTAGACAATTTAGTTCTTTTTTGTATCTTCTGTACTTGTCATGACAGTTGAAGAAATATGACATGGTTCTGGTGCTAGCAACCTGGGTTTTTACAAGTCTCATGATTTAAATTTTATTTTTATAGTCTACTTGATGAAGAACTTTTTGTTGACCTTTTTGACAAAAGCAGTACAGAAATAATCTGTGTTGATTGATGTCTTTTTCTAAGTCAAAAGCAGTAACTCAGAGCTTGTCATCTTAGACATATAGTTGGTATTTTTTAATGTAAAGCATTTTATCTATTTGCCCAGATTGGAGCTCATAACCTGCTTTTCTGTTCACTCACCTAACCTTATCAGAGTTGTTATTCACTCTGCCTTGCCATTTGTAGTGATTTGATCCTTCTTCTATTAAAACCTTTCCCTCTTTCATCTTTTTTTCCCCCTAAACTTAGTTATTCACATTCCTTTTTGGTCTCTTCCAAAAGTACAAGCTGTAAGCCCTCTGTGTTATTGTCACATAACTATTATCTCTTTGCTGTACTTCCCTATTTTTAAAAATTTTTAGTTTGGATTCCTGGTATAGAAACTCTTGCTACCATTACATATCAGCAGAATTACAGATAACTTATTGTCTTAGAGTTGTCTGAGATACTAAGAGGTTAAGTGACTTGCCCGTGGTCACCCAGTTCACATGTTTCAGAGGCAGGACATATACCCATATCTTCCTGACTCTTGAGATCTATCCTTAATCCACTGTAGTGTACACCCTCTCTGTGTGGGTCTGTGTGTGTGTGTAGGTCTAGGTATGTGTGTGCTTGAGCACACGGGCCTACCCTCCTGCTAATTTCAGAATCCAATATAAAATTAACTTTATAATAAGTCCATTGTTTATCACAGACCACCATAGCTTTGATGTTTTCTGTTTTCTCCCTGCTCTTTATATTTGTCCTTGATCTCCTTTTCATTTCCTTGTTTCCTTCATTTGCTGATGGCATCATTTTTGGTAGAATTTTCTGAAAAATAATGATTCTGGGACTTTCGGATTTCAGTATTTTCTGATGATTCTGGAATATAGTTTATAAGGAAAAATTTAATAAACTAACCTGAGCCAGTTTTCTCTATATATAAATGTGACTTTTTCCAAATAAATTCAGTAATGAGAATACAGTGGTGAAAGATTATTCTTTTTTTTTTTTTTGCATTTTTCTAGATTTACGGCTAGACCATTAGTAGAAACCATATTTGAAAGGGGAATGGCCACATGTTTTGCTTATGGTCAAACAGGCAGTGGAAAAACTCATGTAAGTGATTCCTAGAAATTGTGTAGTAACATAAAGTCATGATTCATATATTTAAAATGATTGCATTTAGGGAAACCGCAACACAGATACGAACACTTAAGATAGAATTGTTTATTTTTACATGATATTTATTCTTTATTTTTAAACTTCTAGACCATGGGTGGTGACTTTTCAGGAAAGAACCAAGATTGTTCTAAAGGGATATATGCGCTAGCAGGTAAATAGGCCTTTTTGTATTTGATTTATAAATACTTTAACATTGCCTTTTTATGCTTGATTTGTCTGGTTTTGGGTTTTCTTTTTTTTTTTTTAGGCAATTGGGGTTAAGTGATGTGCCCAGGGTCACACAGCTAGTAAGTGTCAAGTGTTTGGTCTGAGGCCACATTTGAACTCAGGTCCTCCTGACTTCAGGGCCAGTGCTCTATCCACTGTGACACCTAGCTGCCCCAATTTGTCTGTTTTTAAAACAGAAAACCTTCTGTTTGCTTACATTATAAACCACCATAAATGAATAGAGTATAATAAGGAAATAAGCAGCAATAAATAAATCTAAAATAAGTAGCATAATAAAAAGTTGGTTATCCTTTGATAACCTTTTAATATAAGATATAATTATGTAAAATGAAGATTTGGACTTTAGATTTTTAAGTTTTTTGTTTTTTTTTTTAACACTACAACATTATTCTGAAAAAGATTGACTTCCTTAAAAAACTAGAGTAAGGCTTTTTGGTTAGAAGGATTATTTTTCCCTTTTTATGGGGGGAGGTATTATGGGACAGAGGGAAGCTAGCAACGGTCTTTTACTCTAATCCGCCCCCAAAAAAAAAATAAAAAAGGATCAAGCATGTTTAAAAATGTACAGAAAAGAAGGAAGTTTAGAGGGAAATCCAGTTGGGACTGCTTTGCAAATAACATGTTGAATTTGTTTTATGTATATTTAATATAGCATTATATGATATATTATTACATATGTACTTTTTACAGAAAATTTTATATGATAGAGATTTATGATTTCCACATAATCCTCTTTTTCTGTTCTCTTTTGTATTACAGAAGGTTGTTGTTCATTAAATTCAAAATCTAAAAAAAAGATTTTTGAACCATTAAGTTTGTATTACTTTTTCATGGTATTAATTGAAACTTAACTGTTTTCTATTTATATGAAACTCAACAGCTCGAGATGTCTTTTTAATGCTAAAGAAACCAAACTATAAGAAGTTAGAACTTCAAGTATATGCAACCTTTTTTGAAATTTATAGTGGAAAGGTAAGTATAAGCTTTCAGTATTTACCAAGAAGTTCCACTGCTAATTTCATTTGAATAGAAATTGATTCATTTGTAAAATTTGGCTCTTGAAATAGTTTAATGGTCATCATTTTTATCTAAGTTATTATTTTTTTTAAGGCAATTGGGGTTAAGTGACTTGCCCAGGGTCACACAGCTAGTAAGTGTCAAGTGTTTGGTCTGAGGCCGGATTTGAACTCGGGTCCTCCTGACTTCAGGGCCAGTGCGCTATCCACTGTGCCATCTAGCTGCCCCCTTTATCTAAATTATTTAAAACATACTTAACTAGCTTTCCTGTGTTCTTTGAGACCCTCAATTCTGTTAATATTTAGCTAGCTAACATAAATGTATTTTTTTTTCCCAAAGGTATTTGACTTGCTTAATAGGAAGACAAAATTGAGAGTGTTAGAGGATGGTAAACAGCAAGTTCAAGTTGTGGGATTACAGGAGCGGGAGGTTAAATGTGTTGAAGATGTCCTGAAGCTCATTGAAATAGGCAACAGTTGCAGGTATTGCTAATTCTTTTAATTGATGTGTTCAAAATATCAAATATTTTCTTAATTATCTTTTATATGTCGTTATATTTTATGTATGGATATGTGTGCTTAACATAAAAAAAAAATACAGATCGTGGCAACTGATCCCGTCATTTTGTGGCAAATAGAGGGAGAAGAAATGGAACCAGTATCAGATTTTATATTCTTGGGCTCAAAGATCACTGCAGACAGACAGTGACTACAGCCATGAAATTAAAAGACATTTGCTCCTTGGAAGGAAAGCTAAGGCTGGTCTGGACAGCATACTAAGAAAAAAAGCAGAGACATTACCTTGCCAAGAAAGGTCCATATAGTCAAAGCTGTAGTTTTTCCAGTAGCAATGTGTGGATGTGAAGGTTGGACTGTAAGGAAAGCTGAGTGCTACCAAATCAATGCTTTTGAATTGTGGTGCTGGAGAAGACTTTTGAGAGTCCCTTGGTCAGCAAGGAGTTCAGATCTGTCAATACTTAAAAAAATTAATTCAGACTACACAGCGGAAGGTCAGATACTGAAACTGCAGCTTAAATATTTTGGCCACATAAAGAAAAGATAGGACTCATTGGAAAGGACGTTGATGTTGGGGAAGATTGAAGGCAAAAGGAGAAGGCAGAGTATTAGATGGATAGATAGTGTCATGGAAGCAATGAACATGAATAGTGGAGGATAGAAGAGCCCGGTGTTTTATATGGTCCACAGGGCCACAAAGAATCAGATATAGTTGAATAACATGGGTGCTTAATGGTATCTGAAGTCCTTAAAATAATCCTTTATTTCAGTTGTATGGATATTTTCTCTACTGTAGCAAATCACTTAGTAAAAAGTTTTAAGTCGTGACTATAAAAATTTACCTGGTGATGAATCTCTCTAAATGTAGCTAGACTGGTTCCTGTGACAGTAGTCTTTTGCTAACCCTTATTCTGAATATCTACCTTGATACAGTCTTCTAGACCTTTGAAACATCTCTTGCGTAGTCTTCAAGATCTCTTGTTGATCTTCATGAGTGACTCTGTTGTGTGTGTAGAAGATACTTCATTAGGCTTATGATCTCTGATGTTGGTATTCATATGTTACAGCTCAGTGACTTCTCATTCTGTGTCACTTCAGTCCACATTCTCCCATAAATTCTCCACAAGGGGTCCACCCAACATTCCCAACCATCCCACTTTTAGATCTCTTGACATTTTTTTATATATCCAGTAGAGCTCAAAGCAACATCCATTAGTTATTCTTTACTTTAATCATGCTTGTCTCTGATCTAAGTTGCTTCCCAGACATGATTCTTTATTCGGAGTATATTGTAGTCTACTTATATACAAGTTGTGCCTCTTCATTGCTCTTGGGTGACTTGTATCTTATTTCTTTGAATAATGTAGTGCTCTATGATTCATTAGAAGCGCTGTTCAGAGTCCCAAAGGCAGCCTCACCAGTTTGATCACTGACTCAGTTGTTCATTGTCCCAGCTCTTTGTATTATCCTTCTAGCTCTGTATATGTGGACCATAAACATTCTTCTTCTGTTTGGTTTTTCCATATGGATCATAGGACCACAGATTTAGGGCTAGGAAGGGCCCTCAAAGTCATCCCTTCCAACCATTCCATTTATAGATGAGAAAACTCAGGCATTAAGAGCCTTCCTTGCAGCGCCACCAAGTGGTGGAGGCAAGATTCCCATACAGGGTCTCTTATCCAATTTTATGTTCTTTCTACTGTGCTGTGTAGCTAATTAATTAGTCCAAACTGTTTTAAGTGATTACAGATCTCATTTAAGATGCTCTTCAGTATTTGGGGGCCTGATGGCATGATGCCATTTGCAAACAGGAGCATCTGGAGGACCTCATGGTGTCTAAGGAATTACTGTTCAGTTTGGCATCAGCTCTTAGTGTTCTTTATGAAAGGCAAGCATATATCTTGATGTTTTATGCCTCCATTCAAATAAATAATCAATGTATTGGCAAACAAAATTTTTTATATTTTTAAAGAAAGTCTTGTATGATTTTGAGAAATGCGTATTATCTACATATGTGGAATATATATTAACTGGAGGACAACCATTAACTGGAGGACAGCCTTTTGCTATAGTCAAGAAACAGTAAGCACAGTAGGATGTTCTATTCTCTACACCTTTAAGTAGAGATGTGATCTCCTTTAGAATACAGTTTGTAAAAGCCTACTTATACTCTTCTTATACCTTTGAGAGTGCATTTGATTGATCTGTAGGCTATTCTCTCAAAGATTTTATAGAGGAGTAGAAAAAGTAGGCATGTGGGTTAGGAGTTATTGATATTTTTTCCCAGTTGCCTTATTTCAGTATTAATTTGGTCAGTAGTTTTGGGGTTTTCCCCATGTGTTGTTATCTCCTTTCTTCCCTTTCCTTTGTATTTCCGAAATCTTGAGAATCAATCTTTGAAGGCCTTCCAAGCTGTGTAACCTCCAGCACAAACTTTTCTGGGTATACCTGGTCTAGTTAAGCTACTTTTCCCATCTTAGTTTTCTTCTTCCTCATGCAGCACATTTGGGATTGTGATGTTAGAATCTGAATGTGGTTGCTCCATTGTCATTGAAGAAATAGAGTTTGTTAGATAAATCTTGACAAAACTTTTACTGTTTTTAATCTGTTGACTTTCTTCCAATTTCATCTCTAAATGTTCCTAGAGTGACTTTACTTAATTGGTTCTGTTGCCAAGTTTTAAATAACTTTATCTTTCCCTTTGCCTCCTTCTCACTGTTTTAAGTGGTGGTGCTGCCCCTAATCTTCTACCATCCTCCTATAAGAATTTCTAATGAGTTTGTATTCTAAATCTGTGTTGCTCTTGCCTTCTGTTGCTCTCTTAAAGTGTGTGTTGATTTAATTTGGAGGGTCTTATGGAATTTTTTGTGGAATTTCTCTATCTTCCCATCCTCTGCAGCTAATGTTGGCATAAAGGTTATAATTATCTTTATAGGTGATCTTTTTTCAAATGATGATCATGAGCAATTCTATATGAAATAGCCAAATCCCCTCATAAAATAATGTTCCTTCCTGCCTTTGGAAGAACAAAAAAAATAAACACCAACTTTTGGAATTTGGTTTTCCAGCAATAACCATTGAGCCATCCTTCCATTTAGCTGGAACTTCTTTTGTCTTCTAGTTTCACATATTAAGAACATCAAGCCTGCTAACTCATTTCCTCCAGTGATATTTAATGTTATCTTCTATTCAACAAACAGTAAGCACCTACTCTGTGTAAGGCATTATGCTAGGTGCTAGGAAAAAAGGACAAAAATGAAACAGCCCCTGCCTTCAAAGAACTCATCACTGGGGAGAGGGAAGGGAGCCAGAGTAAATAAAGACAAAGTAAGTTTGTTGTAACTTGTAGAAAGAGAGAGTGCTAATAGATAGCAATCAGGAAAAGAATTCAGGGCAGAGCCAAGATGACTGGAAACAAGCAGCAACTTAACTTAGAATTCTCCCAGTGTTGAACAGGTAGTTTCCAGAAGAAGAAATCAAAGTTGTTTCAGTTGTGTCCAACACTTTGTGACCTTATTTGGTGTTTTCTTGGCAAAGATACATTTCCTTCTCCAGTTCATTTTACAGATGAGGAAGCTAATGCAAAGAACGTTAAGTGACTTGGCCAGGGTCATATACTTAGTGTCTGAGGCCAGATGTGAACTCAGGTCTTTCTGACTCCAGACCCAGTGCTCTTACGCACTTTACCACTTAGCTACAGAGCAGGGAAGTGAATATTAAAGCAATTCTAAAGTACCTCGTCACAGCTGTCAGAAAAGGCAGATGCTAGAAGGGATGAGGGAAAATAGGTACAATAAGCTGTAGATTCAGTTGTGAACTGGCTCAATTATTCTGGAGAACAATTTGGAACTATTGGCAAAGAGATGTAAAACTGCATATCCTTTGACTCAGCAATACAAATAACTCTGTACCTCAAAGAGATCAAAGAAAGAAGGCAAAGGTTCCACATGTACAAAAATGTAGTGGCTCTTTTTGTGGTGGCAAAGAACTGGAAATTGGGGAAGGACTGAACAAGTCATAGCATATAATTGTGATAGAATACTATAAGAAATGAGAAAAAGGAGGATGGTTTCAGAAAAAAAAACCGTGGCAAGACCTATGTGAACTGATGCAAAATGAATTGAGAAGAACTGGGAGATCATTGTACACAGTAATGTTGTAGTGATCGACTGTGAAAGACTTGAGTACTCTGCTCAATACAGTGATCCAAAATAATTCAAAAGGAGTCATGATGAAAAAATGCTATCCAAGTCTAGAGAAAGAACTGATGAACTCTGAGTACAATTTGAAATTTAATTTTCTTTAATTGTTTTTTTACCTTTTTTTGGCAATATGGCTAATATGGAAATGTTTTGTATGATTTCACATGTGTAATTGATATCATTTTCCTTGATGTCTCAGGGTTGGGACAGGGGTTGGAAGGAGGGAGAGAATTTGGACCTTAGAATTTTAAAAGAATGTTAAAAATAAATAAAGAATAAGTTTATTTTAAAGAAAAGAAAAAGACCACAAGTATAAGTAGAAAATGTCACTTGAGTTGTGCTATGAAAAAACCCAGAAATTCTCTGAGGCAGAGGTGAGGAGGAGATTGCATTTTGGAAATGATGGACCGCTGGTTCAAAGACATCAAGGCAGAGGATTTAATGCCATTTATGGTGATCATTTAGTAGTGTCATTTTGAATGAAGATGAATGTAGGAAAAGAAGTACTATGGAATTCAGCTGGAAAGATAGGTGAAAGCCAGGTAATGGGGGCTTTACGTGTGATGTTGAGGATTTTGTATTTTATCCTCGAGGTAAATGGGGAGCTCTGAAGATTTTTTGAGTAGGGGAGGTTCCAGAGTCAGGTAATGAACTGGGAAAACAGGATGGGGTAGAGAGACTGGAGATCATAATGAGAATGAAGAATAGGTTTAAAGAAGAGAGAAGAGGGAGAAACAAGGCTGAAGGTTGTGTTTGGAGAGAGGGATTTTAGCGTTTTTGGATCTTGCAGGTGGAGTGGTTATGGTACCACAGAAGGGTATGACAATCCCAGTGAGCAGGTGAGGTGGAATGAAAATGAGAGTAGATGAGGAGGTTGATGAATTAATTGGAAGGAAGCCAGTTATTCAAAGGGAGTTAAGATTTGTGTGTTAAAATCCCTAAGAGTAGGACGGTTTGGGCAGAGATCAAGAATATAAGCAAGGTACTGAACTCCTTGTAGAAAGAAGTTAAAATGGCTTGGAGGTCAGTATATGCCTGGGATAAGGAGTTGAACTGAGTGATAAAAGATTGATGAAATGAACCTCAGAGGAAGAGAGATTACAGAGTTAGGGTAGCAAAGAGATAATCTGCAAATAGAAGGTGAAGGCCAAGGAGTATGCCTACTCTTTTACTTGGCCTGTTGTTTTAGAGGAGGGGCATTTAGTACTGGAGAGGGTGGCTAGAGAAGCATTTTCTTCTAGGGAAAGTCACTTCACATATGAACAGGCATGGATGAGTTGCAATTCGCATCTTTGGAGGAATCACGCATTAATGAGATCACAGATTTATGGGTATATACATTTACATTCAGTGATTTTTATGATCTTAATATGCCACTGGGAGGATGACAGATTAATTTTATAAGCTTGAGTATGTATTTTATTTGATCATTGTTATTAATTTGTAATGTTTAGTTTTTCAGAATTCAGTCCTGTTTTCTTTAACAGCTTTGTTCTTAGATATAAAATACCATCATACTAATCCCAATTTAGTTGGATGCTTGTTTCCAAAAGGGTAGACAAGTTTGATTATTGCTTTACATGTTTCCTTTCTTACTTAAATAATGTTAGTTTAGATTTTTATTTCCATTGAGTTTTCATAATTAAAATACTGTCATTAAAATATCATCATGTAATATGAGGCTGACAGTTTCCTACTTCATCTAATTTTAGAACGTCTGGTCAGACATCTGCAAATGCACATTCATCTCGGAGCCATGCAGTCTTTCAAATTATCCTCAGAAGGAAAGGAAAATTACATGGCAAATTTTCTCTCATTGATTTGGCTGGAAATGAAAGAGGAGCAGATACTTCTAGTGCAGATAGACAAACTCGGCTTGAAGGTGCTGAAATTAATAAAAGCCTTTTAGCACTCAAGGTAAGTAAAATGTGTTCAATCAACAAAGTGAAAGTCTTGTTTTATTTTTGTTCCCTTTATTTCAGAAACAGGGGTCCCCCCCAATATAAGACAAAACTTTGTAAAAATAGCCAATTTATATTTGCATTTTTAGTCTACCTAGTATTCCCGTTACAGGTATTACCAGTTTTAGGTGGATGACTCTGAGACTGGTTATTTTGAGGTCTTTCAGATTGTGCTGTCAATCCAAATTTTGTTTCATCCCCAAATATGGTAAACCATTCAAATGTGTTTGCATCTCAGTCACTTGTGAAAGTGTTGAATAGACTGGTGTTAAGACAGGGCCCTTTGGCAGTATATTAATGTTTTCCCAGGTTAACATCATTCCATTAATCACTCTTCTTTTGGTCTGATGTGCTTCTTAATCCATCTGACTATATTATTATTCAGCTTGTAACTTTCCATAATACCATAAGAGATAGTGCCAAATGTTGTTCCTGAAATTCACATACACTATGTATGTAGCAGTATACCCTTTTAAAAATCTATCAGATTCCCCTTTTCCGTCCAAAAAAGGAAATGAAGTTAGTCTGGATAATTTGTTCTGGATGAATCCATGTTGGCTCTCTTAATGATCAACACTTCCTTTTTAAGCACTAGAAAGGTATTCTGGGATTTTTGTACAATTAAAAAGTGAAGCTCTCTCATTTATAGTTTGGGGAATCTACCTTGCTCTTTTTTTGTTTTTTAAATTGGGATATGCCCATCTCCAATTCTATACAAGTTCTCCTGTTGCCAGGATTTCTTAAAGATCATAAATAGCAGTTGTCTGCAAGTTCTTTCAGTAACCTGGGATATTATTTATCCAAGTCTAATATCTTCAACTCACTGGGGTAACTAATTAGGAATACTCTGAGTATATTCTGACCTGCTTGCTGCTTATCTTGGGTTTCACATTTCTATTAACCATTTTTGTTCTGTGCTTCCAAGGCTGAAAGTTAATGCCATTGGCAAATAAAACAGAAGCAGCCTTTATAGGAATTCACTCATACATAATTTCTTAAAGTGGGACATAGAACAGTTGAAGGTATTTATTAAAGCTTAACGTCATCTTAAAGAAAGATTTGTTTTGATGAATCTATTGTCTGATTAATTGTGGATATTTCTTCTACTGGTGCATACTACATATAACCAATGTATACTTCATCTTATTTGATTCTTATCCATGTCTTCTGCTAAAATTTCAAAACTATCAGATACATCTAAGAGTACCTTCTGGTTCTTTTAATATTTTGTGGTCACAAATGCAGCAAATCTGTTGCGTGTTGGATTGTCCCTTGTAACACCTCCATGTAGTTCCATATGTTCATAGGATATGTGTCCTTGATTTTTTTTAGTCTTCTATGCAAATTATTATTCATAACACAGCTTATTCCAGTAAACCGTAACCAGCGTATGCCACTCGTGCATCTCTGCATTGATTGACCTTCAAGTTATATTCAATTTTGATTCTTCTGAGAACCATCTTCTGTGGTTCATAGTTATATACCATCACTGGGGAATTAAAAATATTTTAAAATAATTTAACTTATTTTATATTGTTTATATTATTGACTGTATTTATTAAAAATTTTTAAAGTTAAAAAATAAGGGCTTATGTGGCAAGGTGCAGTTTGGGATTATTGAAAATGCTACTTAGTGTCCAAAATACTTTCCATTTGGTTCTTTTTTAACTGTGTAGATAAATAAAAAGATCTCTTCAATGACCTTGGGTGTCATTGATGAGGTCTTGTAGTGTTGTAGAGCTAGATACAGTCAGAACAGTGTCATCTGCAAAAAGAAGCATCTGCAGAAACTCTACTGGCATAAGTTTGGCCACTCAGGTATGAAGTATTGTAATAGGCTTTTGTGAACTTTTATTTTAAATTGAAGAAAAAGACTTCATACTTTTGGTGTAAAAGAGACCTAAGATTTGTTTCTCTTGTTAAAGCGTAAATTTTAATGTTTCTGTGATAACTTCAGTTTTAGCCCTCTAGTCATAGACCTTTAGCATTTAAAGAAACCCTGAAAGGTCATCTGATCAACCTCATACTAAATAAAGAAAGTCATTCCACAATGACTGAAAGTCATCTATTCTCAGTTTGCATACTCCAGAAACCAGAGTTCTCTCCCCTCACCCACTGCAATAAGCCTATTTAAAAAAATATTCGGTCAAAACATGCTTTTCATGTATTTCATTCAATGAAATATTTATTAAATGTTTACTGTGTATGAGACAAAAATTCTGGTATTTTATAATGAGTGAAAAGAAAGTAATTCTGTCTCCTAAATCTACTACAAGTAATTTCTCCACTAAGTGATTAGACATTAGAAAATAGTTTGTGACAGGACAGGGTTTTTTTTTGCCAAATTATTTTTATTTAAATTATTAAATTATCTTTCTTGGTCGTAACATGTATTTGATTTTTATTCTTGATTTTTTTTTCCTCTCCCTACATCTCTCTATCATGGGGCGGGGAAGAGGGAGGGAGAAGAAAAATCTCCTGTAGTACAGCAAAAAAATGCCCACATTGGCCATGTCCAAAAAATTGTCTCATTCTGCATCATGAGTCTTATAACCTCTGTTGGGAAGTGAGTAGCACGCTTCATGATAATTTCTTGTATCAGAGTTCTTAAGGCTTTTACAGTTGTTTTTATGTTGTTGTAGTAATTTTCTAAATTGTTCTCCTGGTTCTGCACCCTTCATTCTGTATCACTTCATACAAACTCATTCAGTTTTCACTGAAGCTATCCCTTTCATAAATCTTATAATAAACTATTGCTTTATTATATTCATATACAATAATTTGTTCAGCCATTCCATGCTTGGTGGGCCCCCATTGGTTTCCTTTTTTTTTTTTAAGGCAGTTGGGGTTAAGTGACTTGCCCAGGGTCACACAGCTAGTAAGTGTCAAGTGTTTGGTCTGAGGCCGGATTTGAACTCAGGTACTCCTGACTTCAGGGCCGGTGCTCTATCCACTGCGCCACCTAGCTGCACCTGGTTTCCATTTTTATTACCACAAAAAGCCGCTATAAATATTTTTGCAGATACAGGTCTTTTTTTTTTTCCTTTTTGATCTCTTTGAGTCATAGACCTCATAGTGGTGTCACTGGGTCTGTGAATATACTCAGTTTATCAACTTTTCTGTCCATACTTCCAAATTGCTTTCCAGAGTGGCTGGAAATTTTTTTGTCAGCTTTGCCAAGCTAATGGGTCTGATGTGGAACCTCAGAATTCTTTAATTTTCGCTCTTTTCTAATTATTAGTCATTTGGAGCATTTTTTCATATAGCTATTAATTGCTCAGAGTTCTTCCTTAGAAAACTGCCGGTTTGTGTAATTCCATTTATCATTTGGAGAATGGCTCTTACTCCTGAAGGTTTGATTCAGTTCTTTATATATCTTGGCAATGTGACCCTTGTCTGCATAACTTACTTTTAAGATTTTTTTCAGCGTATTCAAATTAACTGGATTTATGAAATATATCTAGTCTCAACGACCTACAGTATTTGTTGAGGGTTCTAAAAGACTTGAAGTTTAACACTTTTGCTTCACTTTTATAAAATGCAAATTCTTTTTATTACTATTTCTGAGATTTTAAACACTAGTTTTAAAAGTATCATTTCAGTAGGACATCTTGAGACATTTTCCCGTACTATACTTTCTTTGATTTCCTTAGAATTGAAGCACCTGTGAGAATTTTCAGAATATTTCTAGATATTAATAAAATTTACAGTACTAAATGTTAGGTGCTATGTCAAGAGCAGTTTTTAAATGTCAGTTTGATTATGAGGAGGAAAATCTCATAGAAAACTGAAATGTAAACCTTGATTTCTTAATTTTCAGGAGTGCATCAGAGCCTTAGGTAGAAATAAACCTCATACTCCCTTCAGAGCAAGTAAACTCACTCAGGTGCTAAGAGATTCATTCATAGGAGAAAACTCCCGCACATGCATGGTAAGTTTTTGTTTGGGGCAGGGGAGTCAGAGAAGAGGGTAAAATGGCTGACTAATCTCAGAACAAAATATGTTTGAGTACATTTTGTTCATCATAAGTTACACGGAACACTTACGTGTACCAAAAAATATTATTTCCTTAGTCATACATTTAGAGAGGGAAGAGATCTTTCTTTTTTTCCCTTTTGGCTAGGCAATGGGGTTAAGTGACTTGCCCAGGGTCACACAGCTAGTTAGTGTTATGTGTCTGAGGCTGGATTTGAACTCAGGTCCTCCTGAATCGAGGGCCGGTGCTCTATCCACTGCACCATCTAGCTGCTCCGGGAAGAGATCTTAAAAGCCATCCAATCCAACCCCTTATTTGTAAACTGTGGCCTAGAGGAGTGAAATGATTTTTCCAACATCACACAAGTGGAACACCTGGGATTAGAACCCAGGTTCAGTTTTTAGAATTTCAGATCCATTGCACACTAGTTTTCCTTTACATCATTAACCCTTAGAGTGGGCAGCTGTCCAAGACTACAGTTTGTACAACAAATGTCTATTTGTATTATGTCAATGAAATTAAAGCCAAAATCCAGCCAAAAATAACTAAGCCTCCCATTTTCCTAGTAAGAGCCGCACCTCTTAGAAAAATATATTGCCTACTAACTGCAAGCTTGATCTAAGAGAATTTTTTTTTAGGCCTCAATTGCTTCTCTTTGTATCTTTTAGAGAAGAGTGGGTATAGTGATGTGTAGCCAAAGTTTTTGTTCTCCCTGCCACTTAGATAACCTTTCTGCTTTCTACAGTGTTGAAACTTATTGGAGTCTGGGGCACTTGATAGCTTCTCAGGTAGTTCAGAGTACAATTTTTGCCAACTTGTCTTTTAGTTTGCTTTCACCTTGTAATATGAAATATCAATCTTTACACATCAAGAATGATAAAATAAATAATACAAAACTCAAAACTATCAAAATTGCAGCTTCACAGATAGTAAAGTTGTGTTTGAAAGATCAGCCATTTATAAAAATGAAATACTTAGATTTTCTTGCAAAGGAAAGCTGTTTTGGAGGGTTAATGTTACTTATAAAAATGCAAAAATGAAATTAAGGCACTTGAAAGGACACAGAAGAAAATAAGAGAAGATGGTTATATAAGTAGAGAAATTTAGTAGCTACTTGTTAAATTTAATAATTATGCTTCTTTTTAAAAACCATAGCAAAAGTTCATTTTCTTTTATAGTCTTTTTCTTTGCTTATTAAGATATTTATATTTATTGATAATTTCACAGTAAAAAAAAAGCTTTTAAATTTTAATGTGCTAAAATTATATCCTGGAAACAAATACAAGTATTATCATTTCTATTTGAAGTGAGCAAATTTTAAGTAAAATGTGCCCTAATACATGCTAGATATGTGATTTGGGTAGCATGAGTCCTCCCTTCTCCATCTATAATTTGGTAGATAAGTGATAGGAAATGCTTCAGGCATTTGTTAAAGGAATCGTTATAGGGGGAGAGTGGTAGCATATCACATGGCTGGTAAGTTTGTGTCAGGCAGGGCTTAAACCCATTTCTTCTGACTCCAAGCCTATCACTTCACATACTTTGGCACGTTGCCACTAATAAGACATGTTTATACATATGTTTATATCAGTATGCATACACATATATGCCTAAGAAGCAGCGCCCCAAAGCAAATAGAGGTCAGACTTTGAAGTCAAGAATTCCTAGGGTCACAGTCCTACCTCTGACATAGACTGTCTGACTACTAGAAAATCCTTTAATTTTCAGTTATCTCAGCAGCTCTCTAAAACTGTTACAGGGGAGTTGACAATCCACATTAGTGGCTCAAACCAAAAACAAAATAGATACGTAGATATCTATAGGTATATATATGTTTGTGTATAGATGTATATCTACGTATTTAGATATACATACTTTTGTAAGAAGACACTTAAAGAAGGGCCCCCAGTGCATGAAGGACCCTCATGGACACATAGTGGACACATGGGGACATGTAGACATGAGCAAAAGTAGCATAGTGATAGATATGTATGCACACGTGCACACACACACATTTAGGTAGCATTCATCTTAATATTTTTGTTGGCATCATAATTGTCTTGGAAATAAAGACAGCAAAGGTTCTTAAACTTTTTTAGGTCCTTGACCCCTTTGGTGAAGTGGTGGAAGCCTTATAGATCCCTTCTTTAAAGTAATGCTTTTAACTGCTAACTGCATAAAACAAAATACATAAGATTACAAAGGAAGTCAATTGTGTTGAAATATAGTTGTTAAAGTATTTTTTTTAATTCACAGACTCCAAATTAAGAACTTGTAACATAGAGTCAGAAACAGATGTATAATTTGTTATAGTGAATAAAGTTCAGCTACCCTAAGGCAGCATAGAACACTGGGCCTGAAGTCAGGAAGACCTGAGTTCAAATCGGCCTTATATATTTTATAGCTGTGTTTCCCTTGGTAAGTCATTTAACCTCTATTTGCCTGAGCTTACTCAACTGTAAATGAAGGTGTTAACTGAACCCCATTTTAAGTGTTGTTTTGAGTATCAAAAGGTATAATATTTGTAAAGTGCTTTGCACAGTACCTGGCACATATTAAGTGCTATATAAATGCTTATTCCCTTTTCTCCCCACTCTCCCCCCAGCCTTAAAAGTCCCGGGTTCAAGTCCCACTGCTGACATACTGTAAACTAAGCAAGTTACTAGACCTCTCAGTGTCTCTCTAAACTCTCTAAAAACTAAAAGTTGCAGAACATTGATCTTCATTGTTAGTAGGACTTTCCTTACTGGGAACTCTCTACAGCAATGTAATCATAGAAAACACACACACACACACACACACACACTCTCTCTCTCTCTCTCTCTCTCTCTCTCTCTCTCTCTCTCTCTCTCTCTCTGTCTCTCTGTCTCTTATCTCTCTCTGTCTCTCTCACCCTCACCCTCTGTCACCCACTCCTTATAGCTGTTACATCTAAATGTCATTCCAAAGGAATTCCATGGTACAGATTAACATTTCAATTATTAGTTTAGACATCAAAGGGCCTGACCCAGGTGACAGGGAGCATATTGGAGGGACGTGAAAAAAGTGGAAATGACAAGCCTTGACAACTGATTGGATTTGGAGGGAGGTGGTAAGAGTGAGGAGTCCAGTCTAACACCTAGGTTGTGAGCCTGGGGGACTAAAATATAGTAGCATCCTCTGTAGTAATAAGTAGGAAGTTAAGAAGAGGGATAGTTTTGGGAAGAAAGATGATGAGTTCAGTTTTGTATGTTTTGGTTTTAAGGTATCTATGAAACATCCAGTTCAAGATGGGAGGCTGGAGGTCAGGAGACAAGTTGTTGGACAAGTAGATAGATCTGAGTCATCTGCATAGAGACAATAATTGAATGCAAGGGGATGATGAGATCACCAAGTGAAATAATATAGGAGAAAAAAAAGAGGGTCCAAGATCTGTAGAGCCCTGGGGACCCTCACATACGCGATGTGTGCATGAAGATCAGCAAATGAAATTGAGAAGGAGCAGTTAAACAGAACCAGGAGAGAGCAATGTCAGAAAAACCTAGAGAAGAAACTATTTAAAAAGAGAGTTATTGACAGTGACACAGGCTACAGAGAAGTGAAGAAAGATGCAGATTGAGAAAAGGCCTTTGAATTTCTTAGTTAAGAGGTCATTACTAACTTTGGAGGGAGTAGTTTAAATACAACGATGATATTAGAAAGCAGACTGCAAAGAAGAGTAAGAAGAAAGGAAGTGGTAGTGCCAGGAATAGACAGCCATCTTGGGGGGGTTTGCCACAGAAATGAGAGACATAGTACAATAGCTAGTGGGGATAGGCCCATCAAGCGAGGGCTTTTGGGGGATGGGGGAGACATAGATGTGTTTGTAGGCAATAGGGAAGTAATCAGCAGACAAGAAGAGGGTGAAGATTAGTGAGAGAGTGGAGGGATAAGAGAGAATAGTCTTCTGGAGGAGACAGGGTGAGAGGAGACACTCATAGGCAACCTTCTCAAGGAAACAGCTACAGATCAGAGGCACTTTATGAGTTTAATTCATCTCTTTACGTATCATTGGCAAAATCTTCACCTTTATCAGTGTGTGAGACCTACTATTCAGCTTCTGTTGTTTTGATCATTTACCACAGACTTCCTTGACTTTTGCATTCTGTTTTCCCCTAGATTGCTACCATCTCTCCAGGGATGGCATCTTGTGAAAATACTCTTAATACATTAAGATACGCAAATAGGTATGGCAAGTAGTTTTCCATTTGGGAATTTGAGGGGGGTTAGGAGAAATTTGACTACATTTAAAGCACAGTTATGAAAATTCTACCCTACCTAATTATATTTAGAACTTCTTCATTCTTTGCAAGTAGATGTTTCACAAACCCTCATTCATGTGTGGTTTCTTAAAATTTTCTAAACATTTATTATATAATTTTAAGTGTTTTCTGGTGTCCAAATCAATTGTGGGGGGGATCAAGTGATAGCCATAGAAATTTTATTGCACTGGTTTTTTTTATGAGTCTTTTGTTTCTGTTTATTTAAACAATTAGTTAACAACCATTTACTGTGTAAATGGCACTGGGGATACAAAGAAAAGGCACAAATACCCATTAAAGCCAGCCCAGCAGCACTGACCCTGCAGACTTCTTTACATATGACAATTCTGGATCGGGCAGTATAAGTCATTAAATGCATCAGCAAAAAGATTTCTACTCAATCAGTCAGTACTTAAATTTGGAAGCTGCTGATTGGATCTATGTATGTGTTCAATAGAATTTGGATTGGAGCACATTTGTTTACTTTGGTTTCCACAGACTCATTTAGTCTTTGTGATCTATTGGTTTTGTATATGTTGTTTTTATTCATATTTCCTGACTTACACAAATTCACTTAAACTGACTTGAAGTTCAGAATTGTTTAAAAAGAATTCTATTGAAGGTTGAAGTGGAAGTAGCTTTAATTTCCTTTCTTATGTAGTGGAACATAAACTCCATCAGGTCAGAATTGTGTTTCATATTTGTATCCCTAGTGTCTGGAATATATTTCCTTATTAAATACTTGTTTATTAGCTGTCAATGTCTTATTAAAATACATAAGCCTACCATTATAAGTATATCGTATTTATAATGTAAAAACTGTACATCCATTTCTAAATGTAACCTTCATGTCTTTTGAATCCTAAATAGATCTAAAAACCTTAATACTTTAACATTGATTTTCAAGATATTTGGGATTTAGAATTAAGAAGGGAATTTGTATTATCCACACAGGGCTCATATATTTGTAGGGGTAGGGAAACAAATACACTTTTAAATATTGCCATGTCTAAGACAACGAATGCCTAATTGTGAGGCACATTTATCCATTCCCTACCTTCCTCCTTTCTGAAGACAGCTAGCTCACAATTGTCTTTGGTAACCCATTCTACTACTATTTAAATACTCTTACAGTTTAAAAAAGCTTTTGTTTCATTAAAGTCCATTTTTTTTCTTTAGCAAGACATGGAAAATAATTGGTCAGCATTTTATGCGTTTTAATAATGGTCTAAATAACAGACAACTCATTGAATTTATTCAGGATCTAATTATATTTCTATTTGTGTCTGAAATATGATAAAATCTTGAAATTATTAGTCTTTTTATTTGTAGCATAATTAAGTAACCTTAGTTTGTATTTTTAGATGTGCTAATATTTTGGCACCTTCTTATTTTATAATGGAAAGACCGAAGAGTTAGATGAATAGATTTTGTAGTAAATTTCAGGCAGTACTATAAGTGCAGTAAATGAGTTTCTCAAGAAAGTAAATATCATAAAGGTTGAAGGGCCAGAAAACCTGGGTATATGTACCTTTGACTGGGTACAAATTCTCTGAGCATTAATGATAACCATGATAAAGCAAAATAGAATTTAATCAGAGATATTGGTACAGTCTGAAGCCAGGGCAAGGAGTGTTTAGGAAAATAAGGCTTGGTCATTGGATCAAAGAAATGTGAATGTAAAGCTAGAAAGAGATCATTGGCGACTTTAGCAAAAGTCATTTTAGAATACAACTGTGAGGATTGCAATGCTGAAATTGAGAAAATGTTGATGGTTTAAAAAACATGTTGTATGAATTAGTAATGGAAGGGAAGGGAAAAAAGAATAAGAATGTAGCTGGAAAAGGGAGTAATACAAAGGAATGTGCTGTTTAGGTTGAGGCATGCTTCTAGGAAGGGGCATGAGGAGGAGAAAAGTTTGCCATAGAAGAATATGAAATATTAGGAAATATAGGGAGCAAGAGCTGTCATTAGGGAGGAAGGGATTGGTTCCTGAGCACAACAGAAGAGGAATGCCGTCTTACTGTTTGCTATGTTAGGTAACAAAAACTGTTTGATTTTACTTTTTAAACAATTTCAGTAAGTGATAAATGAGAATGTGGAATTTACATTTACACAACTGTCTTTACAAGACCATTTTCTTTTAATTCGCTGCTGTTCTGGTGCTGCAGAGTAAAGGAGTTTGGAATTAGTCCATCAGACATTCCCTTCTCACAGGGTAGTGGCAGTCGCTCTGATCTCTCTCCTTCCTATGAGTATGACGACTTTTCTCCTTCGATCACCAGGTCTACATCATTCTATGCATAAGATCTTTATTGTTTTAAGTTTTTCTTTTGCGATAAATTTCAAAACAAAACATTTTACTTCCTTGCCTTAAGCCGTTATATATTTTGTCATTCTCATTTCATTTGGCAGGTGGTGGTAGTAGTGGTGGTGGTCCTGCATGATCCGTTATCTTTTTTAGTTCATTTGTGTCTAAATTATTCCCATAGAATTCAAGCTTGCTTAATTCCCTTCATATTTATGTGGTTTTGTAAGTGATGATGTCACCTTTGTATATATTAAGTAGAATAGTTCTGGCTTATATAATTTTATAGTAAATTAATTAAGCTTAGTAAGCTTAGTTAAAATGGCAGTGGCATGCTGAATTGTTTTATGCCATTTGTTTAAAAATGTTATGACGTGTCCTTTTTGTGAATTTTTTTCTCTTCAATTTAAAAGCATACCACCCTAAATTTGTAAATGTCTACATGGTTAATAAATTTGTTCATTTTTTAAAATAACAATTTAAAAGGGGTTTTTTTTGGAAATAAAAGAAAAATGAGTAATTGCTACATGTTATTTTCTCCTTTATGACAGAAAATATTAAATAATCTTAACTTGAAAATCATTAAATAATAAGTATATGGTTACCAAAAAATCTTAAATTATGCCATGTTATCCATGCCAAAGCATTTTGTAAAAATGATATTGATCAGTCGAGTCTTTAAAATGTTGCCTAATTGTATAATAGCAATAATAACACCAATAAAACCATATTTACATAGTACTCATGCATTATTTCTAGTAAGCCTCACAATGGTCCTGTGTGGTAGGATAAGACAGCTATTACCCTCATTTTACAAATGAGAAAACTGAGTCTTTGATTAAATAATCTGCTTAAAATCACATTAGAAGTTGTAGAGCTAAAACTAAAATTCAGGTTTCATAACTCTTAACTTCAGTGTTCTTTCCACTATACCATACTGCCTTTTTCCTGTTATTGGAATTCAGTGGTCATTGAAATGTTTCCTACTTCCCCCTTCCCCATACCTTATTTATCTATAGTAAATGTTTGTTTTTTATAATGATTATATGACATAGGAATGTTAAAGTGATTGTGAAATAGTCTAAATTAAATCAGAAAGGCAAATATCCGTTTTATTAGTGTTCTTCCACACTTCAGAAAAATAACTTATGAAGTTGCCATCATCATTCTTACTAAGTGCATTAGAGTGCCTTCAAATCATAAAACTTTGGTATTGTATTACTGAATGAACCTTTGCTTATTTACAGTACCCTCTCTATGTTTTTAGGGTAAAAGAATTGACTGTAGATCCAGCTGCTGCTGGTGATGTCCGTCCAATTATGCATCATCCTCCCAATCAAATTGATGATTTAGAGACACAGTGGGGTGTAGGCAGTTCACCTCAAAGAGATGACCTAAAACTCCTTTGTGAACAAAATGTAAGTAACTTAACAGAACTGTCTTAATTTAATAGCATTATGACCTAAGAGAATGAAGACTACTTTTTAATATTATTTTTAACTAATCTTACAAGTTTGACATATGCCACTGTTATACTTTATCATTTCATTTTTTTCCTTTCAAACAATTGAAAAGAATTCTAATGAGTTCAGGTAGGTCCCAGTTAATTTGAATAATGGAACCCCTGAAGGGGAGTTCCACTTGCAACTTACATTTCTAGTGGGCTCGAACCAGTGACCATATTTTACATAATTATAATTTCAAATGGTACAAATTGGGAAGTGATGAGTTGAAATACCTGCATGCCCTCTCCACCCAGAGGGAGGGACAGACCCTAGGGGCACGGTTGCTGAAGAGGTATGAGTTTCAGAGTTGATGTCAACTTGCAGAAGAAAGAGTTCTGGAGATCATGAAATCCAGGACCTCAGTCAGGTAGGAAATGATCAAAAAAGTTTCATTCAGTAAAAGAATATTTATATCAACTGGGGATCTTGCCTAGTTCCTGTGACTTGTAAAGAGAGGTTACAAACACAGAATTTTTTTCCACTTTTCCAGGAGAAGAGAGTATTGGCTTTAGATTTTACACATCTTTTAGTGCTTCTTTGAATTGGACAACTGGGCCATACTGCCCAGCTCCTGTAGACTAAGTGAAGGAAGGGTAAAATTACCATTGCATTAGGTTAAATGCCTGTGTACTGTCCATCACTATGCTAAATGTGGTGGAAGACAAAAATTATGCCTACTTTTGAGAGTACAGTTTAATATATTTGAAATGATTGCACAAGTTAAATGCTAAACTCTAGGGCATAAATAACAGTGTGGATTAATGCAGTCTGGAAAGGCTTCATGGTGAGATGGGTTTGAGCTAGGCCTTGAAAGGTGAGAGAGGTTTGGCTAGGCACAATGGAGGAAGAAGGTATTCTAAGCAATGGCAAAGTACTAGCAAAAGCACAAAAATGTTCATTAATGAACATAGCATATGTGAAGGGGATAGTGAGGAGACTAGATTAACAAGAGTGAAGAATGGCACGTTCAAGATTAAAGTTTCTTTTTTAACATATCAAAATTTTTTTTATTCTGAGTTTAGTCTAGTTTTTAGCATTTTTTCCATCACTTAAGTCTTGGCTAGGGATTGGCAAACCACCGTCATACAGCCAAATTTGTCTGGCGAGCTAAGAATAGTTTTTATAGTTTTACATACAAAAAGTCTTTAAAATGTAAAAATTATTCTTTGCTTGTCTTTATTTTGCCTGAGGACTGTAGTTATGCCTAACCCTGGTATAGACAATCCAACAACTCATTTGTAGTGTTGGCTGATTTTGAGACGTGCCTGTGCACACAAACACACACACACACACTCACACTCTTTCTCTCTCTCTCTCTCTCTCTCTACACCTATGTAGTGCCTTAAAGTTACTTTATGTACTGTGGGAATTGAGGGACCCACACTAACTCCATCTTGTGACTCAATTCTGGATCTAGCACAGTTCCTTTTGTATTCAGTTATGAGTGTAGTTGGTTTCTGTCTTATTTGAAAACTTTTTTCAATTATGTGTGTCTGGATCACCTCTAGCTGCTGCTTAGAAACCCTTAATTAAGGACCTATCTTATGTTGACCAGAAACCCAGTCATATCCAAAGATTGATGCAAGAAGTTTTCTCACAATTATACATCTCAAGCACCCTGATCTGTCTTATCTGAAAATGGTCCATACTGATCAGTACCTTATTGTTTCTATGTTCCTTTGATTAAATACAGACACTTGGCAGGGGGGAGTGAGTGGTTGGGGACATACACCATTTTTCTGATTTCAGTGAATTGTACCAGATGTTAACTCTCTCCCAATTTGGAAAGTCCCTGATCTTTTCTCCAGTTAAAAATCAGATTACCTAATTTTGTATCCTGGTTAATTGTTTCTTTTACTTAATTGGTCTTATTTGATTAGTTGTTTTTAATACATAAAAATTAGTGTCACTCTTTATTCAAAGTCATTTATTATGACCTTGCTAATAAAATTGTATAACTCAGACTGTTTCCTCTGTTAATAACCACAATACTTCATCTCGTTTGATGTCTTTGAGGAAGGTTACTGTAATTGTGGTATGATTTGTGTTTGAGTGAGGGTTGAGAGATTAAAAAGGTATTCGAAGAGCTGGTTTGGTGTAGTGAGTTGTTATACTTGGGAGTCAGGAAGGTCTGGGTTCAATTTCCATCTTCCATAATTAGCAGTGTAACTATAGGGGCAATTCAGATAACCTAAGCCTCATTTTCCTCATCTGTAAAATGAGAATAACAATACTTATTTATAATACCTATATCACAGATTTTTCATTAGGTTCAAATGTTATCTTGTACTCTGTTCCTTGAAAACTTTAGAACATTACACAAATAAATATCTTATTTCAGTAATTCAGGGCCTGAACTAGAGTAATGGAAGGAGATGCTGCAGAACATTAGTGATAAATCTGAGAGGGCTTTTTTTATAGACTGATGTAGTTTTAAACTCTGTACAAAGACAATCTGAAGTATCTTTTAAAGATGGGGGTCCATTAAGCTTTGAAACAAAGTATCAGAATATGATAATGGATATCAGAAGGTGGTGATAACCCCTTTCTTTTTAAGCATGGAATTTAGCAAGTGTGAGTATTTCCTCTTATGTTCCTTACTTTATACAACTGGTTGTTTCTATAAAGTTGTAGGTTTTTTGAGGGGTGGGATTTGAAGGGGTGTTGTTTAGAGGGACCTTGCAGTGAAACCTTTTAAGTGTGGATTTGCTGCCATGTCTATAAATTTGATAGCATAAATGAGTTTTATCTTTTGGTCTGCCAGAAGTGAATTCGATTTTACTATGAAAGTTTCTATATTAACACTGTAAGTGTCAATTAAAATAGTATGTTAATATTAATCTTATCTACTAGAGAACTACCTTTGGGGGGGGGGAATCACAGAGCACCAATATTATCTCATGAGATGTTTATTTTTATTTCTAGGAAGAAGAGGTCTCTCCACAGTTATTCACTTTTCATGAAGCTGTCTCTCAGATGGTAGAAATGGAAGAGCAAGTTGTAGAAGATCACCGGGCAGTCTTCCAGGTAAAACAAAACATTATTTTCTTATGTGATTGAAGATGTTTTTTGGTCCTCTGACAATAATACAAACTTATAGAAGTTTTTCCATGTATCCTTAGGCCCCTAAAATGTATATGTGATATATAATAGAATCATGTCTAGGGTAAAAAGGAAAAGGATAAGACTGCTGCTTAGAAGGGTAGCATGATGTTAATAAATGACAAAGAAGAATTACATAGATTTTTTTTGTCAGTTATTATATCATACTAGATAATGTCCAGCAGTTTACCTTTCTTTATTTCACAGAGTAAAAACTACCTATGTGTCACCTCCTTAACTGCTATGTATTTCTCTTATTCCTTGGCAAGTTTTGAAGAGGTTTTCTTGTTCCCCACCTGCCTCTCACACACATATTTATTGGCAGATTTGGGTTGGCATTAATAACTAGAGCTACTTAAAAGGCTGTCAGAGCAACCTTTAAGAGTTGATGTAGCAACTGTTTGTCAAGACTGTTGGTTGGCTAAGAAGGAAGGGGAACGAATTAGGAGGGTAGATGTTGAATTATAGACTTTGAGCTGCAAAGTCCCTTTGAGATTGGCACTTAACTATCACTGAGTGGGTAAGTGCTGTTAGGTGAAAAGCAAACTTGGAAAAAAGTGACTGTCATCTTGGAATTCAGAAGATAGTTAGAGATAGGAACCCTGATTATAGTCATATAATGAGAGAGAGAGAGAGAGAGAGAGAATATGAGAGAGAATGTTAGAACAACTAATTTGGCCACAGAACAGTTTTGGACCTTGAATTATGTTGATGGAACCCATAACTCTACTTCTTCCAGCGAATCTGGATATAGATTGTTGTTGTTCAGTTGTTTCAGTCATATCTACCTCTTTGTGACCCCATTTGGAGTTTTCTTAAGCAAAGATACTGACCGGTTTGCCATTTCCTTCTCCAGCTCATTTTACAGATGAGAAAACTGAGGCCAATAGGATTAAGTTACTTGACCAGGATCACATAGCTACTAAGTGTCTGAGATTAGATTTGCAGGAACATGAGTCTTTTTGACTCTGGCCTTGGCACTCTATCCACTGTGCCACCTAGCTACCTCTGGAAATACAGATTACCTCAGGAATAAAGAAAAGATATTGGAATATTTTTTAATGCTGATAAGTTTATTGAATTTATTTTTGATAGGTAATTTCATTGTTTGAGGGGGGGAACTTTGCTAGCAGCTGTGTTATCACAGAATTCTTTCACATTGCATGGAATAGCAGAGTTTTGTGACATGGTTTAGAAAACACTGTCCTAGAGTTTAGGAAAGCAGATTTCAGAAACTTTAGAATGTAAAATGGGTATGATCCTCCAAAGACTGACTCCAAAAGAGAAAATGGCTCAAGAAGAATGGCAGTCTCTCAAAACTGAAATTCTGAAGATAGAAATCTCAAATGATTCAAATGAGAAGGAAATGGGGATATAGGGGAGGAAGCTGCAAAAATCACTGTTAGTTTGAGGGATTTCAAGGAATATAAACAAAGGCTCATACAAATTTGTTCTCACTTTGGAGCTAATTATGGGTACAGTATGGGTATCCTCTACCTCATGGCCATTCCCTGGACCCCATTTTGGCTTGCTGTAGGAAAGTGAAATAGATGGACCCAGGAAACCAGCTTGGGCCAGACAAGACAGATGACTGACTAGTTCTAGATAGCCCACAGATGTTAGGAATCTGTTAGGAATTTTAGAGTAATGTAGGTAAACAAAGGGAGCTGGAGGGGGGTTGGGGGTTTTTGTTTTTTTCCTTAACAAATGTAACAATCCTAAGCAGATAAGGCTTCAAGCATTGGTTTTCAGGATTTTGTTGGAATAAGAGGGCTACCCTAATGGATATTGCTATCTCTTTAGATCTCTCCCTTCTCTGAGTATAGGGATTCATCATCATGCTTACATCAGCTTCCCTGAGAGCCCTTTAATTAGATCAAAATCTTAAAAGACTACATAGAAAACATGGAAGCAGGGGCATGCCCCTAAAAAAGAAAGCATGTACACATGAGACTTCTTAACAAGTGTCATAAATGCTGGAGTCCAGAGTTAACTGAAGCTTTTTTCTCCCAAAATGCTAAGTATAACTTCAGGGCTTTTTCTTTACTTAGCCATATTCAGGACAAAAAGAATTAGGATAAAAAGTTAGATTCCAGTTGGTATTTGTGTTAGGAGGATGGCATAATATTAACACATCAAGAGAAAATGGAACTAACTCCTCCTGTGCTTTTATTTTGCTTCTGTCTTCCTCTGTTAAGCAGAGCAATTAAATGACTTGGCCAGAGTCACAGTTAATTGTAGAGCCGAGGCCAACTCAGGTCCTTTTAACTGTCTGTTCAGTGCTTTTTATTGACAAAAGGCTATGAACAATATTTAAAATGTATTTGTAAAGCACTTAGCACAGTTCCTGTTACATAGTAGGCTTATTCCCTACCCCCTAAAGAAAAAGAAATTCTGTCATTCTCTTATTATTTTATTTGCTGCAACAAATAAGCTACAACATTTACAGACAGGTAATGGAAAGCATTCCCAGAGTATGAAGGAGACTCTATGGTAGATGATTATTAGTGAGTTTTCCCTGGGAATTTGGGTAGACGTACTGTGGAAGGTACCCACCTTAAATTTATTTGTAGTCCAGGTGTTTTTGTAATTACAAGTTGTAAATGAAAGGCATAGCTATGTGCAGTTTAAGTGAAACTTACAGGCTACTGTTTCACAGGTGGAGGCACAGGTAACACCATTTGTTGGGCAGGAGAACACAGGAGGGCTCCTAACACTAACAAGTGTTCTACCACTGGTTCACTTTTGATCCAGTAAGACAGCTTTGGTTAAATAAGCTTACTTTATTCTAGTCTAGTCTTCTCAAGAGGGAGTTTACTGATAATGGGAGCACCAGCTCCTACAGGTAGCATTCCCTAATCACTCTTCTTGCAGGGGCTGGTAGGAATAGGAGTACATCTTCTAAAGGATCCCCTAAGCCTCAATGGGGGCTGGTTCAGGCAAATACAAAGATTCCCCTCAAGCCTTGATGGGGGGCTGATTAAGGCAAATACGTGTATTCCTGTATGCATTACCCAAATCCCAAAATGGGTTCCCTACTCACTGACCAGTGCCCACTTGCTTTATAGGGTAGCACACAAGACAAATCGCCAACATTAAGCTCACAGGTTAACTTTATTTTGTTTTATTTTATTATTTTTATTATTATTATTATTATTATCATCATCATCATCATCATCATCATCATTATTATTATTTTGGCTAGCCAGTGGGGTTAAAGTGACTTCCCCAGGGTCACACAGCTAGTAAATGTTATGTGTCTGAGGCTGGATTTGAACTCAGGTCCTTCTGCATTCAGGGCCAGTGCTCTATCCACTGCACCACGTAGCTGCCCCCCACAGGTTAACTTTAGCAATATCGTCATAACCTAGCACAGCACACATGTACATTGTCACCCCTCTATCTCACTACACAAGTGTGGTGGAGATGTTTACAAACCATGACCATGGGAAATATTACCTAGGATCCTGGAACTGTTATCTAAAAAGGAATAACAAAATCCTCCTTGCACACACTGAAATTTACCTTACAGGTACCTACATGTTTTAGGTATATAAAATTGGTCTCAGGCAAATAATCGGACCAGTAGGCAAGCTCTCATCGTAGCCACAATAAACATTTCTGAGCCTAATAGAAATTGTGTTAGCCTCTAGGGAAGTCATAGTTATTGAACAGATTAATTTGATTATTTACCAAAAATGATAGACATTTGTTGGTCCTAGCATCTGTGGTGACTTTGAAATGTTCCTTTCACTGAGGTTGTGGCTGTTTGGGAACTGATCTTGACCTTCCTCCTCCCCTCAGCCACCCACAATGTGACTGAAGTTTGTCAAGTAAATAGAGTGAGATGACTTGGAAGCTTCAAAATTGTTAGAGCTCCTCGGACCAGGAAAGGAAGTTGAGTGATTTTAAACTCACTTTTCCCTGCTCTTGAGGGTCTTAGAAATTAAGTAGATTTATGAGTAGCTTTATCTTTAACCGTGATACATCTGAAGAGAAAACTTAACAGTGAATCCTGTGGTTTTTGCAAGAACTGAGCTGACCTTCCTCTGACCCCGAGATCCAAGCATTCTAATGTTAGGTCCTAAGGGGAAGTTTGGGAAATTCATGAGAAAAGACAAATTCAGTTCAACATTTAGGGGCCAGATAGCAAATCTTTCTTCCATCCACATCCCCCTAAGAGATGTTAAATAGTTTGATTCTGGTTGTGGGCATGTGTTAAAATCTGTCTCCAGTAAGGAAGCTTAAGGTATTTAATTTCTCATCCTTAATAGGAATCTATTCGATGGTTAGAAGATGAAAAAGCCCTCCTAGAAATGACTGAAGAAGTGGACTATGATGTAGATTCATATGCTACACAGCTTGAAGCGATTCTTGAACAAAAGATAGACATTCTTACTGAACTTCGAGGTAGAGTTTTCTTTTTATTCTTTAGAAGGTACAATTGTTTAAATGTTCAGTGGTTAATTATTTCATGCTGTAATGGGGATCAAAGGAACTATAGTAAAAACTTAAACTGTTTTCATACTTTATTAATCTCCATGGCTCCTTATTAGTGATTTGCTCTTCAAAGCCTATAAAGCCATTTTTTTTTCCTTTTGGGGGGGGAGGTGGGGAAGGGCCCCCAAAGCATGGACTTTTGACATATACTTCTCCCCTGCCCCATTACCTTGAAAATAACATCTTATGATTGAAAATAAACACAATGAAAAATTATTAAAAGGTAAAGTAGCAGAAAATGTAAACTGTTGTTTACTATCATTTTGGAAATCATTTAATATTAAAAAAATTTTAAATTCTTAAATCACTGATTATTTGGACATTAAATATTTATATTTGCTTATTAAACCACAAAATAACATTTATTTTATGGTTTGTCAGTGCCATTTGTTCACTATAGCTCCTCAATTTGAGGGTGGGAAATGGGGTGGGGAGGAAGATTGCATAAGAGAAGCCTATTGGTTAAAAATAAGGGTTTGGTTTGGAGTATTACACCAATGGTGTCAAACTCAAGTTGAAACGGGGGTCAGTAATCTATACATAAGGATCCAGGCAGGCCACATACTGGCTTCATTTTTAAAATGTAATGTTATCTATGTTTCATTGTATTTTCATTTATTTTGTTAGATATATTCCACTTGCATTTTAATCTCATTTAAGCTGCACTGGGCATGCAGGCAACACATAGTCCTGCCACCTCTATATTAGACCTTTTATTACTTGATACCCGGCTGCCTATGTTGAACATAGTTCGATGTGTTCTCTATACATGGAATGAAATATTTATTCCTTTGTTCTTTTCTTTTTCAAAGATAAAGTGAAATCTTTTCGTGCAGCTCTACAAGAAGAAGAACTGGCCAGCAAGCAGATCAATCCGAAGAGACCCCGAGCCCTTTAAAATGGGCACTTGCTGCTAAAGAATCCCTGGAGCCCTCCATACTCTAACATTTATTGCTTTAGCTACAAGGGCCATTTGAACATTTAAAAACTTTTTAAAAGTGTCTGTGGAAATGTCCTGTTCTTCATCAGAATGACATTTCAATTTGTGTCAAACACTCCTTTGTCTACAAAATGCTTTCTAGTCCAGGAGGCACAACCAAACAAGATTGGGATTTGTGAAGCATTTTGTTTAATGTTTCATTTACTCAAATTGTTAAGCTTACATTTGGAGATCCTTGCCAATTTTTTTTTTTTATAATGAAATAAGACTGTGGACTTTAAAGAAAAAAAAGCCACAGCATTTCATTTTACCTGTTCAATTTTCCTACAAAGACTAACTGAGCAGTTTTAAATTGTGTTTGCGTGCATGCATACCTCATCAGTGATTGTACATATCCTGTCCTCTCCTAGAGACAGCTGTGCTCACCTCTTCCAGCTCTGTGCCTTGATTAAGGCTATTGACCCTAAATTTCCTCTTTATGAATGAAGCACAGCCTTAATAAATGACATTCCTTATTTGTCAGTGTAAATTACCTTTATCGTGTGTATATTTTTAATGTGTGTGAGACTTTTTGTGTGTGATTAGTTCACTTTGGAGGATGTGCCATATCACTGAACGGAACTAAAATCTGTGACAGTGGACAAAGCCACTGGACCATTCCATCTTAAATGTGTGAAAAGAATAATCTGGAATTATGACTTTAAATAACGTAAAGCGTGGTTTCAATTTTCTTAGCATTTTATTTGTAAAGGACAAATATATAAATTAGTTGATGTAAAATAAAAGGTAATGAAATACCGAGAAGAGTTGTATCTTAGGGTAATACAGATAAGCAATGTATGTGCCAGTGTGATATTAATGAGAATAATAGTGCAATTCTGATCCTTATAAATGGGGTGCCATTACTTAAATGGTACAACTAACAATCTAGACAAGTACCCTTTTCAATAATATACTGTTAAAAGAAAGTGGCTTCTGATGCATGTGTGTTAACTGTGGTCTACAGGTAGTTTTGTGGAGTTGTATGGTTGCTTTAAGGCAAAGTGGCCAATGCATATTTTCCTTGTACAGTGAAATCAGCTAAAAAGTGAGGCAGCTGTGCTGTGAAGAACACATGCATATTTAGCGCCTTCAAACACTCATTTTGTGATCAATGTCACCAAGAAATTTCATTCTCACCGAAAGTATGGTGAGGGTATCCTGCACTTTTTAGATGGCAGCACCTATTTTATTTTATTTTATTTTTTTTGCAGATTAATTTTCAAAGGAGGAATGTTTGCCATTTCATGTAAATATTTTGTTAGGTGAAGAAATATAGCTCTCTAGGAGTTCTCTCTCTCTTCCCTAGACAGTTCAAAAAGTAGATTAACAAACTCCTTAGGAAGTCCTGTTTTAGTTTACTTCGGGAAACTGCTAGCTCATTTAATGCTGAGCAGCAAAAGAGAAAGCAATGAGTAGAGAGCTAAATGAGCCAGATTTGCCATTTCAGTATTTGCAACCCCTATAGGAAGGAAGGCTGTGGGAAGCCCTTATTGTGCATCATGGTGGAAAAAATCCTAGACTGTAAACATAAAAGCTGAAATACAAATGTAGATTTTCATAATGTGTTTAATAAATTAAGCTATGGAATAACTTTTAGAGAGAATTTACTTCTACGAAATTCCTTGTAAAAATACATGTGAATTGATTTAATTTCTCTACCCACTTTTGAATCAGGTATACCTAATGAGGAGTTTAGAACTGAGAAACGCTTTGGAATAAAGTTATCACTCTCTGTTCTGGGAAAAAAACTTAAGTAGAGTCTATTAGTATTAATAAATCATTTTTGCTAATTATAGTATCAAGATAGTTGTCCATTATCTAAAGAACAAAAAGGAAAATGGGAATGTCATTTAAGTCAAAACTGATAAATTTATTTAATTTAGTGCATTTATAGCTTTGCATTAAGTGGAGATAAGAATTTTGCAGGGAAAAGTTTAAGGCTATCTAACTTATAGAACTGTTAATATGGCACAATTATTATGGCAGGCTTCCTTCTCATCAAGAATGTTAAAGCAGTTTCAGAACAGTAAAGAAATAATAAAGAAAACCTAGGCCATCTTTACCTAATTTAACCTGACTTAATAACTCGATGGATACATCCAGCTCTTCATAGCTTTTTATATACAGAATGAGATAATGAGACCAGGGAACAGCAGGCAGGAAATTTGGTTCATTATGTGGCTAATCTACTAATGGATACTTCTAAACTAAAGCATGCCAAAAAAGGACCTTAAATTTCACAGCAATCTGACATGTCTGTCATGGAGGAGTGGGGAAGGGTATACATTGTGCTCAGACCCAAAGCTTAGAGAGAATAGGAGCTTGCCCATGTTCACGCAGCTAATAACAGAGTGGGATGACTCTGACTCCCCATCCAATATTCTTTCTACATTATTCAAATATACCCAAACCCAGTCATTTATGAAAAAGACAATTTCTAATTTAACTTTTTTTGAGATGTCTACTCTTGAGTTAACGGTGATAATCTGTTAGATTGCCTAACTGGCAAATCTTGTTTGAAGCAAATTTGAGTTTATAGAACATTTATAAGAGTTCACTATGATTCTAAAGGATGGTTCTCTTGACACGTTTAAAATAAGTTTAAAAACTAGGCATATGGCTCTGTTGTCTAGGTATGGCTCTACTACTACCCATATGAACATTAAGATTCTGAGAACAGACTTATAAAAGATCCTTATTTTCATGTAATTTATAATTCAGAAAAACACTATAAAGTTATGGATATTGCTAACATCAGCTTTATCAGACAGTTAATCTGGATGCCATAAATGTTGACTATTCAAGACAATTAGAAGGGACCAACCTCCATACACTGCATGTAAAGTAGAAAAGAACAATCGAGGATTTCATAAAGTTAGATATACAAAAAGATAATGAAAAAGTCTAAAGTTTAGGTTTAGCAATTTTCTGTGCTGTCACAATGACCCACTACAGCAGTTTTGCATTACTAAATTAATAGTCCCAGTTGCTGTAAGTCTTCTAAAACTACAAGGGACTTTCCTCATCCAGGAGTTTCCTGCACTAATGAAATCACAGGTTCAGTTCTAATCCTCTAAACTGAAGTAGTTAAGTTTTTCTTAGGTGTCTTCTAAGATATTTATAGTGCTTTTTCATGAATATTTTTTTAAAAAGCCAAGTAAAAATTTGTAGAGTTTTATTTTCTTCATGTTATTTATATGTATATAAAACACACAAACTTATCACTGGAGGGGATATAATTTTTGTGAGGTGACTGATAATCCTACCATTGAGACTTCCTGGTTGGTCACCAAATTTCATAGCTGGAAAGGAGCTTATAAATCAGTTAATCCTAACTCCCTCATTTGACAAATGAGGAAATTTGAGGTCCAGAGGTGAAGTGTCTTGCCTGAAGTTACCTAGCTACTGCATTATCAGAGATCAACTGAGACTCAATCCCAGGTTTCATATTTCTCTCAATATACCACTTTACCCACTGCAATGGAAAGGGGAACTAAGCTCGAGGAAGTAAGAAGGATCAGATGGACGCAAACGAATAAATGCAAAAGAAAAGGTCATGACGAGAACGAGGGAGATGATTATTAGATAAATGGAAGAAGACTGGGTAAAGAGAATAATAAGAAAGCTTATTTTTTATTTAAAAGACATACCTCTCATCTATCCCAATAAGCAAAAGAAAAGTCCTCTAAGAATAGAATTACCACAATAAATAAGCTGTTAGTTTCAGAAGATGAACAGGTAGAAGTGACAAGGTTTGTGTGTTAAGTTTGTGCGTGTATTGCGGCTATTAACTTTTGGAAAGAATTGTATTTGATCTGGAGGGTCAATGACTTGGTCACCCCATGCCCAAAGTTACATAGTTTGAACACTTATAAAGTACAGAATAAATCTGCCCTTTAAAAAAAAAAAAACAACAACCCAAAAAGTTACTTCATGATGAGAGGGTAAGTTTTAGTTATAAAACCTGCAGGGTGTTTGGTGTGGTTATCCTTGTAAAAAATAGAGGTCCACCTTCTTCATAATCAGTAGTCCAAGAAAGTAAATTTACAGTTTCTTGTTAAGTTTGGAGTATCCTCTTATTTTTTTTTTTTGGAGTATCCTCTTTTTAATCTGCCTAAGAAAAATGGATGCCTTCTGCGTTGAATCCATGTAGCAATCTGGAAAAAAGGTGAACATGAAAAAGTAGGCAAACAGTAACCAAAACAAGGCCTATACTGCTTAAAATTTTGTGTATGGGAGAACAAAGTCTAAGCTCCTAACAGCCCACTTAGTTTAAACAATTCTTTGATTTTTAAAAATTATAGTACAATAAAAAAATGACAATCCATTGTAATAGATTTAATACATAAATACATTTGAGAATACCCAGGATCAAATACTCCCTTTTGACTTCTATTTGCTAGCTGCATAGCCATGGGCAAGTCACAAATTTTCAGTGCCCCAGTCAATTAATACTTTAGAAGTGAATTGCTGATCTGCATGGAGGAAGGGATTCCCACACCAGGACTTAATTCCCAGATAAAATCACATGTCATCATGAAAAAACAAAAAAAAGGTCACAAAATAACTGCTCTATACAACTGTGACTGACAGGAAAACATTAGGTTGCCATTTCTTATCACTGAGTTTGGTTTACTCAGGTTTAGATTTTGTATTTAGATGAGAGAGCTCTTTCATCTTGGTCCATATAAACAATTTAAACACATCAAGACATAACCACAGTATCACAAATTCAGAGCTAAAAGGAGTTATCAGAGGCTACGTCAACCTCTCCATTTTACAGGTGAGGAAACAGGCCTGCAGAGGTTGACTTCTGCACCCACGGTCACCCAGGTAGAACCAGGATTGAAATTCCAATCTAATTGCAATTCGATTGCTCTACAGTGTATCATGATGCCTCTGAGGACAAGAAACTGATGTAATCTGGAGGGCCATTCCATGTAAAGGAAATTTTTGTTCCTCCCAATGGAATTAGGTAGAGGAAAAAAGTTCTTCTATACAGACACAAAAGGAAAACTAGGAATTTCCCATTGTTTCCCAAGGGCTTGTTCAATCACACCCATCTCTTTGTCACCCCATTTGAGATTTTCTTGGTAAAGATACTGAGTGGTTTTGCCATTTCCTTCTCTAGCTCATTTTACAGATGAAAAAATTGAGGCAAACGGTTAAGTGACTTGCCCAGGGTCACACAGATAATAAGGATCTGAGGCCAGATTTGAACTCAGGTCTTCCTGACTCCAGGCCCAGTGCTCTATTCACTCTACCACCTAGCTGCCCTCCTCACAAGAGCTTAGGTGGAATTAAAAAAATAAAAAGACTAAGTTCCCTGAGGTCAATCAGCAAACATTTATGAAGTGTCTATTATGTGCCAGGCACTATGCTGAGTGCTGGGGATAATAAGAGAGGTGACAGTCCTTGCCACTGAAGAGCTCCCAGTCTAATGGGAGAGACAACAAGCAAACAGCTATGTAAAGCCTCCATTTTCATACTGTACCTCCAGGTGGCTAGGAAGAATAGGAAGTTGTGCTTGGCAACTGTGAAAAGAAGTATGGCGTGATGGAAAGAGAACCACAATTGGAGTTAGGAGAGCCCAGGGTTTAACTTGCATTTGCTACTTTCTAGACATGAGCAAGGCACTTCATCCCTGTAAGCCTACTTCATCTGCACCATAGGGATAATACCTGTAGTACTGAACTCATAGGATTGTTATGAAAATACAATTGGAACATCTAGTAGTTTGTAAACCTTGAAAGTGCTATGTAAATGCCAGCTCTTATTAGGGTGCATAGAACATGGGTCTAGTTACCCAAACGGTCCAGTCTTTTCTTACTTCCTCTGTGGAGAATGAAATGAGTACTCTTTGCTAAAAGATGGAATTGTACCTTATTAGGTAGTTTCTAGGATTAACATCTAATTCCATATTATCACTCAAATCAAAAAAATGTACCATTTGACATTATAACTATCTAACCATTTGTATTTATCAACAAAGCTAAGTCAAGCACAGAATTAAGACAATTACTGGTTTGCTTAAGGGCAAAATTCTCCCCAAACACATTTGGCCATTCATAAAAACTATATGGCTGATCTGGGTAAAAGTTATTTCGGTCAGAATCCTACAAATAATTAGCTCACCTGTGCCTCACTCTGGTTTTTGTGAGCTGGCCTCAAGTGACTAAAGTGAGCCGCCACAGTGATCAACTGGTATCTAGACACCACAGTGACTGCCACTGTTTCATACTTGGTTTCCTGAGCAGTGGTTAGCACCAGGATAGAAAGAAAAGACACAAGGGTCTATTCCCTGGGATCAGATTCCTATACCTTGGGTAAGGAAATGTTGCAAATACATAGCTGCTACTTTAGCACTCTTCCAATTGACAAGTTTATGAAGCAGACAGGCTCCTAAAGGAATACTGAAAAGACTGTGAATTAAAGTAAGGTAAAATTCTCCCTTAACTCAGAGGTTATCTACTGGCTCTGACTGTTCCTCATTACTGGTTCTTCAATGAAATCTTATGTGTTGGGGCTAGCCAGCCTCCACCTACTACACCAAATACTATCTCATGCAACACAAGTCCTATGCAACAGGTTTTCCAGGTAGCCCCCTGTGTTGCTCTTCTCCAATCGCCTTTAAATACAGCATCTGAAGGTGTCAAGAGTACAGAAATGTAAATGTGTCTAAGTCATTTAGAAAAATTAAAATGTAATTACCTAATGAAGTCATCTATGTCCATGGATCGGGCCCGTTTGTCACTAAAACCTGTATCCATTAGGATTTTCTGTATTTTATCTGCAATGCTGAAATCTTCTGGTATTGCCTGTCAACACAGGATGCAGAATAAATGAACACAATGTCTTGCAATGCAGCTACTTTGACTCTTTTTTGGGGGTTCATGCAAGTCACAAAATAATTTTAGTTTATTTGTGATAATATGGAAAAGAGGTTAATTGTACAGATAAAATGAATCTGAGTATCGGTTGTATTAGAGGGCCAGTGAGGACTCTCCCAAATCAAAATTTCTGATTCTGTGGTTCTAATTGGGTGACCTTCCCCCATACCAAGAGACCCAATTACACTTTTGAATAAGATCATTTTTATTGCTCTAACATTCTTATCCTTAAAATGGAAATAATTTATAATCCTAGATAAAAACACTGCTATACTTCTAAAGTATAATTTTATATCAAAGAATGAATACTAAAGGAATTTTTTAAAAACACAAGCTTGTTTAACATGCTGTCTCTGTACAAGCTCATTACGTTTACAAGCAGAGTTCTAACCTCAAACTTCTGAATGTTCACGTGGAGTTGGATTTTGGAGCCACTTAGAAGTATACTGTAATCAGCAGATGAAAAAGACAAGGAAATGCAACAGTGATGGCTCACAACTAAACATTAAGTTATCATGTAGTTACAGTTGCATCAATCTACCAGAACCAGAATTAAAATGTTTACAGCAGGTGATGATAAAACACTGTATGCTTTATTACATGAGATACAGAATTTGCCTGAAGACAGAGGTGCATCATAGAAGAGGATGGTGCGTAACCACCAAAGAACATTTCCTACTTACAATATTATGGATTGAACAGTGAATTCGGTAATTTTTTTCCAAAAGCTGTTGCACTGCACTCGACCTATGGAGAAGCAAAATGATATTAATAGAATTGCCAAGTTTGAGTTTCAATAGATTCCTTTCTATGTATTTATGTTTAGTGAAAGGTGGATGTTAGGCTTCTATGGAATTTTTTAAGTGTTTCATGTTTAAATGAATGAAACAGTTGCATTTTAGATTGCTATAATTATAACCTTCACACATATATTAAAAATGACTATCATTTTTAAAGCACTTTATGTTTTACAAAATGTTCACAAATTGATCAAAGGGTTGAGAGTTGGAAGGCATTCTGGAGATCATTTAATCTAACACCCTAATTTTGCAGAGATTCAGTGAAAAGCAGTGACTTGTCCAAGGTCACTAAGTGGCAGAGCTAGAATTTGCACCCAGGTTTTTTAAGACCAAATCCTGTGTTCTTTCTGCTACCCCACACTGCCACACTCCACATCTATTATGTGATCTGTTCCTCACAACATCCTAGTGAGGTAGCTAGTGACATTATCCCCATTTTACAGGTGATGAAACTGAGCCTCAAAGAAATTGTGACTGCCACTTACTAGCTGTGACAAGAGCTATGATTCAAGCCCAGGCCTCCTAACTCCAAATGCACTGATCTTTGCATTACGTGGCAGCTGTCTCCAGGATAACAAAGAGACTAAAGGAAACACAAAGGAAACAAGGCTTAAAAGCACCCTTGTTGTGTGGTTTTGGTAAAAGCTGGGTGGACTTGTATGAACTGAGGAAGGAAGAATTCAGCAGAACCAGGAGAACAATTTGTACAATAACAATACTGTGAAAACAAACAACTGAAAGACTTAAGAACACTGACTGATACAATGACCAACCATAATTCCCGAGGACCAGTGGAAAAACATGCTACCTACCTCCTGACACAGAGGGATGTACTTACAATTTAGAGATACACACACACACACACACACACACACACACACACACACACACACACAATACATATGTATATGTAGAGATCATAATTATATGTAATAATTTATACATATATATTATTTATTTGGGGGGCACAGTCAATGTGGGAATTTGTTTTGCTTCACTATGTCTGTTAAAAGAGTTTTCTTCTTTTGTTCTCCTCCCAATGGAAGAGATGGGGAGAAAAAATATTTACATTTATTACAGATTTTTCATTAAAAAAGAAAAATAATAAATGAAACCAAGCTTTTGAAAGTATTCCTATTTTGGACAAATACAACCGCCAGGAACCACCTCAAACTTACTACTTCAATTCAACCTAAAACGTGAGGCCTACTACAGAAACATGGTGGTGCTATGTTAAGCACAGTATGATGCAGAGCAGTGGCAGAGGTGAAGAGTTCCAAGAAGCAGTGGTAGAGCTAGGCCAAGAACCAAGTTTTCTGTCTGACTCCCAAACTAAGTCCCTTTTCATTAATCCTCTGCCCATCCCCCACAATTACATAGTGATTAAAAAAGTTTACCAGTCTCTGGACCTGTATACTGTAAAGCAGCTGTCTATACCCCATAATTAGAAACATGACAGGGCACTTACTTAAATGCTGCAGACAGAGTCTTGTTTTTCCTCACAAACGTTATCCTCACAAGACCATCCCATTCCTGAAACAGATTGATGATATTGTTCTTACACACTAAAAACTCTGCAGTTTGCTTCACTCTCTCCATGAAAAAACCTGTTAAGTTCCCTCACTAATAATGAAATGCAAATGTATAATAACAAAAGGCTAAACCAAAATGGATCAGAAGTAAATAATCTTCAAAATTAACATGCTTCCAATAAAAAGCTTTAACAATGCAGCCTGTACAAATCATCTGAATTTCCTTGTGAGCACTTGTGGCACACAACTGCTAATGTCACCAGGCTGGCCCCAGCTTACAATTTCCTTCTTCTGAATGATGGCCCTACGCTCTTATGCAGCCTAGTGGCCTGGCTGTGTTTTCACCTTACCTGGAAATTGATAGGTGGTGGTGGGTTCTTAGGTTCTATCCTTATCACACTTGACTCAACTTTTGGTGGAGGTCTGAAATTATTCTTCCCAACCTGTTCATCACAAAATAAGTGTCAGGCTTCATTTTATTTATTTATTTCTGCAATTTAGTGACCAAAATCACTATGCTCAGAAACTCAACCCAGGATGAAGGGATCAAACTGATTTGCTCCATAGGTTAAATTTCACTTACTTTCATCAGATGATCCACTCGTGCTAGTAACTGGGTATTAATGGAAAGTCTGCAGTATAGCTTGTCTCCTGGTTTTGCAACCAAACGGAGAGCAAATTCCCTCTGGAACATAAGTACAGCACACCTGAGAAGAAAACAGAATGAGAAGAAGGAAAATACCCACTTTTAATCAAGAATAGACAACCATAAAAATAGCATTCAAAAAAATGTTCATTTATTATATACAAGGTACTGTGCTAGGCACTAGGGAGTCAAAGACCAAAAAGAAAGGGTCAGCATAGAAATCAGGAACAGCCTTATGGAGAATTTGACACCTATGCTTTAAAGTGAGGAAAGGATCTCAAGAGGCAAGAAGTAAGGAAGTCCATTCCAGACACATGCTAAAGTCTAAAGGCAGAAGATGACGTGTTCTTTATGGGGCAAAGCCAAGATGGTGGAGCAGCAGGGATCAAACCAGCCTCGCCCTCCTCCACAAAACACCTCCAAATAGATCTAGAAAATGCACCAGCCAAAATCCTGATGGGTAAATCCAAAGAGAGTTACAATGAGTAATTTGTCAAGCCTCAATCAACATAGGGAGACAGAAAGGTCTGCAGATTCCAAGGATGAGGTTAAGGAGTGAAGCACTCCAGCAGGTAGGGAAAGGCTGTGCACTAGGGCAAGAGGAGGTCCCACACCCATCTCGAGATACCACCAGACCCATACCAGGGCACCTCAATGAGGACAGGTGCCAACTGGCAACTTTGTCATCCACTAACCAGTTCTGTGCCACAGATAAAGGGTACACTGAGAAGGAGACCTCTGTCAGGAGGGTGTTCCCAGGTAGGGAGGCCCTGGGCCTTGCACTAAGAAAAAAGACATTCAGAAGAAAGAGGCAGCAGTATGGCTCAGACCATCAGGATGAAAGGAGGGAGAGAGGTCTTAGTTCCATCATCTAGCCTGCAGAAGAATAAACAGGGCAAAAATTCTAGATCAAAGAGCCTAAATTCTGAACTAATAAAGCTTGGCTTTATTCTAATAAAGGTGGCTGATAAGGGCTAAGTCCAGTAGCATTCTACTCTTGCTCAAACCCAAACACAGGTCAGGCCCTGACTGAGCTCAACCGGCAAGGGAGACAACCAGATTTTGACCTGCATCAGACCACTGTAGGGGCACTGAAAGCTTGCAGGTCTCCAGCCCTTTTACCAAGAGACCCCACTGCTAAGATTAAACCGTAATGAGTCCCATGATAAAAAATACCCACATACACCAATTTATAAGAGCATTTTTTGAAGTAACACATTTTGAAGAACAAAACAAAACTAGAAATTAAGTGGATGCCCAGTGAATGAAGAATGACTATACAAGTTATAGCACATGAATAAAATGGAATATTACTATGCTCTAAGAAAGTAATAGTCTTTCTATAACAAATGGAATCTGGAATATGAGTTCAAATTCAGCCTCAGACACTGACTAGCTGTGTGACCCTGGGCAAGTCACTTAATCACTGTCCACCTCAGTCTCCTCAATTGTAAAACGAGATCATAACAGCACCTACTTCACAGTCTTGTTGTGAGGATCAAGTGAGTATTTGTAAAAGCACTTTGCACTGTACCTGGCACATAAGCAGGCACTATACAAATGCTTATTTCCTACCCCTCCCCTCAAAATAAACAAACCGAAAGAATATCATCACCACCAATAACCACAAAGGAAAGAGAATGATGTGACATTATAATGACCAAGCCTGACCCCCAAAAAAAGTAAGTGAGAAAGCAGCTCATTCCTTTCTTTGAAGATGTCAGGAACTGTGGGTTTGGTATACTACAAATGTCAGACTTTTTTTCATATACTGGTGAGTTTTGCTAATTTTTTCCTCTTTTTTAGTCTTTGTTGTAAGAAATGATGCTCTGTGAGGAGGAAAGGTAAGACATACACTGGGAAATATAATTGATGTAAAAATGAAAGATACCCAAAAAATTATTTTTTAAAAAAGAAAAAAAAAGCCCAGGCAGTTTTTGATTTTGCTAAATGCCTGACCCAACTGAGATAATAAGAGGCATTCTGAAGTGAATTTAAAGGCAAGAACAACCTTCCTCCCCTCTAGGGTGGGAAAGGAAGTAAAAAGACCTAGAATAATTCTCATTAAAGGTAAAACTACTGTCTGTTATTTTTGGTTACAGGAATGAGTGACTGCTGACACATTTCTGTTAAAATATATATGATCAACCCTTAACTAGGAAAACAGAAACAGCTTCTAAATAAAATTAAGACTCAGTTTTAAAAGGAATGAGGGCTTCTAAAATATCTACTATCTGAGCCCAATTGGAAAAGTTCATAGTAGCACAGGTTTAGAGCAGAAAGGGTCCAAAGAAGCCATTCTAACCCAGTCCTCTCATTTTACCAAAGAAACTGAGGTTAAATGGATTGCCCAAGGTTTCAGCTAATGTCAGAGGAGGGACTGAAACCCAGGTCTTCTTCAATCCTAGTTTGGTACACTACCCATGATGCTTCTCTGTTACACTGGCCAATTAAGAAGAGAAAGATAAGAAAAAGACTCTCACTCCTGAATTTTTTATAAGAATGACATCTAAGATTGTAGAAAAACATACACATACCTCAAAAATCAGGCATGTTTTTTAAAATGTAAATTTGCATACTGTAATGGGAAGAAAATTTGGTTTACATATTAAATTTCTTAGTGAAATTTCTCCAGCTCAGGAAGAGTGGGTGTTCAGAAAAGGGAAGGCTTTATAGAAGAGGTGGCATCTGAATTGGACCTTTAGAGTTAACCTAATTTGGCTAAAATGTAGCATATATATGAGGAACCAATGTTAAAGAAGAATGAAAAGGTAACTTTTGCTTCACACTGTGAAGGCCAATCGTGCCTACTATGTAAGAAGTGCAATGTAAGATGCTGGAGATACAGACACACAAAAAAGCAATCAACCCCTCCTCTTGAGGAGCTTATATACCACCAAGAGACAATGGAAAGACCTGGAAATATTTTGAACTGAAGAACAGTTTTCTCCAGTCTGTGCTTTAGGTAATTAGTTTGGCCACCTTATTTAAACTAAATTACAGGGAAAAACAGTTAGAAGGTTACTGCAATAGGTATGAGGAAATGGAGTCCTGAGCTAAGGTAGTAGGAGTAGAATGGAAAGACTGGAAAATGAAAGAAGGATATTTATCTACTTTCTCTCTCTGATTTCAACAACATTTATCTGACATTTTAGGGAGGGATACATTGAAAATAAACCAAATAGAAGCAACCAGTCTTTCTGAAATACTCTAAAAACTCAGTTTTCTGACATACCTAAAAAAAGGTCTATGCAGCAACAGCTTGAAGACAAATGGGGAAGAGATCTGCAAAAGAGAGTGATGATATGATTTCTAGGAAATACTCACAAAACCATCCTTAATTATGATTTGTCTGTAACCACACTGAACATACCTGATAAGGCAAATTTGCTACACATGCATCAAAGAATGGCAAGTCTGTTTTCAACACATCACCAACCACTACTTGAAGTTTGCTTGCCTGAGGCCTGCCAATTAGAGGAAAAAAATTTTTTTAAATTACACAAACATGAGTTTGGAAGACAAAACTACTAATTCTATTATTCATACTCACGTTCCCTGAACTCTTTTGTGAAGTTCAGCTACTAGCCTTGGGTCAAGTTCACAGGCAATTACCTGGAGTAAACAGAGAAGTGATAAGAAAATATATTTAGTTAAACATGGATTGGTCATTGGTATTTATCATTTCAACAGTAAAAATTCTCAAACACTCTCTAAAACACTTTTCAATTCATATATATTATCCTTCACTAAACACCCCCCCGCCAAAGTACCTTAAAAGTATCCTTAAAAACAAAGCTTTTACACAGACAGTTTTCAGAACAAGAAATCAAAACTATGAAAAAGTGCTCTGAATCACTAATGATTAGAAAAATTAAAGTTAAAACAAGCCTGAGGTACTGACTCACACCCATTAGACTGGCTTATATGTCAGAAAAGGAAAATTATAAATTCTGGAGGATGTGTGGAAAAATAGGGACACTAATGAACTCTTGGTGGAGTTATGAACACCAATCATTTTATTTACTTATTTTTTTTTGATGGGGCAATTGGGGTTAAGTGACTTGCCCAAGGTCACACAACTAGTAAGTATCAAGTGTCTGAAGCTGGGTGAACTCAGGTCCTCCTGACTACAAGGCCAGAGCTTTATCCACTGTGCCACCTAGCTGCCCTTGAACACCAATCATTTTGAAGAATAATTTGGAACTGTGTCCAAAGAGCTATACAACTGTGTATACCCTTAAACCTAGAAATACTACTCCTAGGTCTATATGGCAAAAAGATCAAAGAGAAAGGAAAAGGACCTATATGCACAAAAATATTAATTTATCTATCTATGTGGTGGCAAGGAATTGGAAATTGAGGAGATGTCCATCAAATGGGAATGGCTGAACAAGTTGTGGTATGTGATTATGAAAGAATAATATTGTACAGTAAGAAATAATGAGAAAGGTGGTTTGAGAAAAACCTAGGAACACAAAGGAATTGATGCAAAGCCAAATGAGCAGAACCAGGCAAATATACACAGTAACAGCAGTATTGTAACAGTGATCAGCTGTGAAGACTTAGCTACTCTGAGCAACACAACGATTCACAGTTCCAAAGGACTCCTGATGAAAAATGCCATCTACATTCAGAGGAAGAACTGATGAACTCTTGAGCTGCAGAATGGAGTATTTTTTTCCTACATTCTTTATTTTTCTTGCTTCCACCCCACCCCTGCAATATGCTTAATATGGAAATGTTTTACATGACTTGACATGTATAATGGGTATCATACTGCTTGCCTTCTCAGTGGGTGGGGGAGGGGCTGCAGAGAGGGAGATTTTGGAACTCAAACTTTTTTTTCTTTTTTTTTTTTTTCAGGCAATTGGGGTTAACTGTGGCCCAGGGTCACACAGCTAGTAAGTGTCAAGTGTTTGGTCTGAGGCCGCATTTGACTTCAGGGCTGGTGCTCTATCCACTGCACCACCTAGCTGCTCTTAGAACTCAAACTTTTAAAAAGGAATTTTTAAAAAAAGAAATTTAAAAAGTTACAAAAATAGATATGCAGTTCATTTTCTTATGAAATTCCACCAAAAACATCACAAAAACACTACATTGTTCAGTCTGGCTCAGAACAGTGAATAAGCATTGGTACTCATTGACATTACATCATTACAACATTTCTGTCCTGCTAATATTCTTGACAGAGACAATACTAACAACTAATATTCATATAGCCCAAAAGGCTTACAAAGCAATTTACACCAATAACACACAAGTATTTTTATACTTGCCTATTTTCAGAACTAAGACCTTGGGATAATCTTTTCAAGGTAAAGATAGTTAACTTAGAAAAGCACCATTAGACAAAATATTACAAGTCAACATATATCAGACAAGGCTGAAATTGTGATTTCAAACTGCACCCTCAATTGGGGATCTATTTACTATTCAGTAAAATATTTTCCACATAAAACTTAGTGGTTTGACCATGAACTCAACTAGCAATAGTGTTTACTGAATAAAGATGTTTTCCCTAACTTGATAACATTAGGAAAAGACTTCAAAGTTATATCTAGTGTTAATTCAATGTTACTGTAATTCATAACATTAAATTTTTTGGATTTTTTTAAAGCTGAAAAATACAATTCAGCAAAATGGTCTTTTTTAATACAAAATGTTTAAAATTTAAATTTAAATGTTTAAATTCCAAAACAGACCTTTTTAGCTTTTTCTAGTAGTTTTACAGTCATGTTTCCAGTTCCAGGACCAACTTCTAGGACCACATCTGTTGGTCGTAAAGCAGCCTAAAAACAAGCACAAAAATCTTAGGACTTTATTTCAGATATAGATATAAATGTTATCATATGACATCATGTTTGTGTTAACCTGCACAAAGCTGAATTATCAAGTGACTTCATAACCCCACTCTAGTTGAGGGAATTTTAGCTTGGTTATCAAAGCTTAACATTGAACATACCCTGGCATTGTCACTGGGCTCAATCATAAATTGACATAAAATCCACTTCCTATTTCAAAGACCTATGATTCTGATGACGTGAAATCACTTCTTCCACCAACACAGATCATAAGCCTTCTACAACTTAATAGATTATCTATGAGTTGCTCTAGCCAGAAATGTTTATCAAATGTAGCCAACTTGGTAATAAGACTCTCCAAACTTAGGCTGGCCCTTGGATAACAAGAACCATATACAACCAGACCCAAACATGAAGCTTTTCCAGGTCGGTAAAAATACATCAAAACATCGGTTTTTGGAAGTCATGGTTACATACCTTGCCATAGTGAGGTATTAGAATAGGACTTTAGTGCAGGATGAAATCCACATCATTCCAAATAAAGGAAAATAAAGATTATTATTTGATAAACAACCGGAAAGACTCTGAAGAGTCTTTGCGAGGTTGCCATATGCTATATAATCTTATTAATGGTTGCCACTAGGATTTTGTTTACAATTTGTTATTAACAAATACTGGCCCAAATTAGAAGTGAAAGGGGTAGAACAAGTTGCATCCAAAAAGGTAAATGATATGGAAAGTATTTAGAAGCATTCCTGCTTGAGGAAAGATGACCAATTCTACTTGTCTGAGTGATCCCATTCCATTCTATCTCCTCCAACAGATTGCTCCTTCTTTCATCCTCATTCTTCCACTTATTTTCAATCTTCTCTCTACTGGCTCATTTCCTACTACCTACAAACATGCCCATGTCTCCCCTATACTGGGGGAAAAAAAAAACCTCACTTAATTCCATCCTAGCTAACTACTGTCCTACATCTCTTCTTCCCCTTGCAGCTAAACTCCTTGAAAAGGCCATCTACAATAGGTGTCTCCATTTTCTCTTCTCTCATTTTCTTCTTAACCCCTCACAATCTGGCTTCAGATCTTATAACTGCTGTCTCCAAGGTTATAAATGATCGCTTAGCTGCCAAATCCACTGGACTCTTCTCCACCCTCTTTCTCCTTGACCTCTCTGCAGCTTTTGACAGTATTGATGACTCTCTCCTCTGCGATACTCTCGTCTCTAGGTTTTTAGGACACCATTCTCTCCTGGTTTTCCTCCTATGTGACCACTCCTCCTGTCTCCTTTCTGGATCTTATTCCAGATCTGCTCATGCCGTCTATCTGTATGTGTCCCATAAGGTTCTGTCCTGGGGGTCTTTTCTCTTCCCCCTCTATATTCCTTCACTTGGTGATCTCATCATCTCTCAAAGATTTAATTACTATTTCTATGCTGGTGACTCTCAAACCTTTACCGCCCCAATCTCTCTGCTGACCTCCAATCTTGCTTCTCCACCAGCCTATCAGAAATCTTGAACTGGATATCTAGTTTTTAAACTCAGTGTGTCCAAAACCAGAATTCATTATCTTTTCCTCTAAACCCCACCCCCTCCTTCTTTCTTTATTAATGTACAGGACAACACCATCCTCCCAGTCCCTTAGGCTCACAGCTTAGGAGTCATCCTGGATTCTTCACTATCTCTTACCCTCCCACCCAAGCTGTTGCCAAGGCCTTAGATTTCACCTTTGCAATATCTCTGGAATAACCCCCTTCTCTCCTCTGACACTGCCGCTGCTCTATGATAGACCCTCATCATCTCACATCTCCATAACTACACTAGCCTGTGGTGGGTCTACCTGCCCCAAATTCTCTCCCCATTCCAATCCATCTTCCATTCAGCCATTAAAGTGATTTTCCTAAAACACAGGTTTGATCATGTCATCTCCCTACTCAATAAACTATAGGGATTTTCTACTGCCTCTAGGAACATGCAAAATGCTCTGTTTGGCATTCAAAGCCCTTGATAACCTAGCCACCTCCTATCTTCCCAGTCTTTTTTTTTTTTTTGCTTTTTGGTGAGGCAATTGGGGTTAAGTGACTTGCCCAGGGTCACAAAGCTAATAAGTGTCAAGTGTCTGAGGCTGGATTTGAACTCAGGTCTTCCTGAATCCAGGGCTGGTGCTCTATCCACTGCACCACCTAACTGCCCCTTGAGCTGTATTTTGAAGGAAGACAGGGATTCTATGAAGTGATGAGAGAGTGCATTCCACTGAACTCCTGGCTGTTCCATGAATAAGACCTCCCCATCTCTCAACTCCACGCATTTTCTCTGGCTGTCTCCCAAGTCTAAAATGCTCTCCCTTTAAGAAAGACCAACACAAATAAGAGAAAGAAAGCAGGTAACAAATAAAATGCAATTTTCTTTCATGCTGTTGTGGTGAGTGGATTGTGAATTTGTTTGGGTTTATCTGCTGTACTGTCTATACAAATGACTCCTAAATCTACATGTTCACCATTAATCTCCTGAAATCTGGTCCCACATAGACAACTATCACTGAACTTTTTCACCTGGCCATCCCACAAGCATTTAAACTCAATATCTTCAAAAGGAAATTCATTATACTACACCTACCACCCTCCATACTTCCCTATTTCTTTCTATTAAGGGCAATACCACCATGCCTGTCATTCAGGTTACAATCTTAGAATCATCCTTGACTCATTCTTCTCCTTTCACTCCTCCCCCAACCTAACCCATTGCCAAATCTTGTCCATTCTATCTCTACAATGTCCCCTACATAATTCTCTACCCTCTATTTGCATGGCCACTACTGAATTTGGGACTTTATCAGCCCTCATCTCTCCCACCTCTACAATCTACCTTCCATATAGCTGCTAAAAGAATCTTCCTAAAGCAAAAGTTTAACTTTATCACTGTCCTCAAAAATCTTCAGTGGCTCTCAATTTTCTCTAAGATAAACCACAACTCCTTAACCAGATACTTAAAGCCCTCCACAATCTAGTTCAACCTACCTTCTGACAGTCTCACAAATTACTCACTCCCTTTCATGAACTCTACATTCCAACAAAATAGGTCTCCTAACTGTTGCCCAAACTCAACATTCAAACTCCTGGTTCTGTGTAGCTACACAAATACCCCACACCTGAGTGTACTTCCTCTGTTCTTACATTTACTTATCTGTGTATGTGTTGTCCCCATTAGAATGTCGGCTTCTTGATAGCAGGATTATTCCATTTATTTTGCATTTGTATCTAAGGTGACTAGTACACAGCAGGTGCTTTAACATGTTTGTTTAATTGAAGACAATATATGAAACATAATGCACTGTACCCAATTTTTTTTTTAAAGACACATTCTAAAGAAAAAAACTTTGACTTTCTTTTCAGATTTCAACAAAACCCAATTTATACAAACCTTATCAATGATGCTATTAACAATGAGAGGATTTTTCAAAATATGCTGTCCAAGTCCAGTATTAAACATGACACCTATAGGAAATCACAAACCAAATTTGTTATACAGCAAATCATGCTACTACATCACTTATAAAAAGAAGGGGGTTGCACTGATTGAGGAATGGTTGAACAAAAGTGTGATCTTTAGTACAGGATGAAATCTACATCACTCCAAATGTAGGAAAATAAGGATTATGACTTGAACAGTCAGAAACTCCCTGAAGAGCTTTTGTGAGGTTGCTATACTCTGCATAACCTTATTAATGGTTGCCACTAGGATTTTGTTTATGTTTGTTATTAATAAACACTGGCCTAAGTTAGAAGTGAAAGGGATAGAACATGCTGCCAAAAAGCTAAATGATATGGGAAATATTTACAAGTGTCCCTTCTTGAGAAAAGATGACCAATTCTACTTGTCTTTTGGAGAATGGCTGAAAAAAAGTGAATGTAAAGAAATAATACTGTTCCATAAGAAACAAGTAATATGAAGAATTCTAAGAGGAATGGGAAGACATATAAAACGAGGAAAATTGAAATAAACAGAAAATTATGTGACCAATATTCCTTCCCCTCCCCCTCCACGAGAGCCATCCCATATATGTCACTATTTTTTAAAAAATTAAATGAAGGGGTTGGATTAAATGAACTACAAGATTTATCTTTCAGCTCTAACACCATATAAGAATATGATTAGAAAGAATCACAAGATTTGGAATTGGAAGGAACCTTACTTCAGTCCAGCCCTACCATTTTACAGATGAAGAAATTGAGGTCCAACAAGGAAAATGAAATGACAGATAATAATAAACAGCAAGAAAAGCCTAAATTTTCTATGTCCAATTCTAGTGCGTACTTGTATCGACTATATGTCATGTTGCCTCTCGTACGTGGAGTCTCCGTTCTTACTCTGCATACATAAAATCATAGATCTTGTGCTGGAAGGGTCCTAAGAGGTTATCTAGTCCAAACCCCTCATTTGACAAATGAGGAAACTGAGGTCCCGAGGGGTTAAGTAATTTAGAGATAACAAGTGGTGGAGGACGGATCCAAACCCATGTCCCCCAACTCCAAATCCATTGATTAGAGGCAGGTAGGTGGCGCAGTGAATCGAGCGCTGGGCCTGGAGTCAGGAAGACCTGAGTTCAAACCCAGACTCAGACTCTTACTAGCTGTGTGATCCTTGGCAACTCACTTCACCTCTGCCTGCCTCATTTTCCTCATTAACAAAATGGAGATAATAACAGCACCTCCCTCCCAGGGTGCTGCTGTAAGAATCAAATGAGATAATAGCGGCTGGAACGCGGTAGACTCAGTCTCATCGCTTATTCCCTCCTCTTCGCTCTCTACAAGACTCCCAAACCTCCTACCAGGCAGATATCCCGTAATCCCCAACCCCTCCATAAAACTATAATCTTTTTAAAGACCCCCGCAGAGCTGTCAGTCTCCTTTGTATGCACGCCCAGAGACCCGGGCAGTACCGGGCACACAGCAAGCGCTTAAGAAGCGCTTTCAGACTTGCTGGCTGAAACTGACCCAGGACTCCCTAGGAGGGCACTGGAAACGGCGCACAAAATGCAGGAAGCTGAACGTGCCGGAGGTTTACACCGACTCCACCTGACGGCTGGGCAGGCTTGTCCAGCCATGACACTCCACACCGCGCCGCGCCGCTCTCGCGGGGCACCGAGCCCCAGAGCCGGGGAAAGTCCGGCAGGCTTCCCGGGCACGCGTCCCATCATGCGCACACCCGCTTCGCCATTCCTCCGGGGCGCCCACGGTTAGGACAAACCCCGGCAGTTCGGCGGCGGGAGTCCCGGGCCTAGGCAGGGACGAGAAGAGGGTCAGGCCCCGGTACCTCCGTCGGTCCCTTCCTTCCCCGGGACTCTTTTGCTCTCCCCTCCTAGCCACCCCTTACCGCCAGTACTCTTCTGCTCCCGCCGCTCCCGGCGCCGGCCGCTGGTTACCGACTTTGCCTTGGGCATCTCGACTCGGGAGCTGAGCTCTGCGCCCAGATACCCAGCACAGACACAGTGGCTCCCCGCCACGTGGGGGAGGGGGCCAGGGAAGAGCCCAAGGCTCCTCCCCTGTCCCCACCTCCTCGCTTTTCTCCGCCCCCTTCCGGCCCGCCAAACCAACGGGCCTGCCGGGAATTGTAGTTTTTACTCCCGAAATGGCCCAGAGAGAATCGGAGAGCAAGACCTACCGTCCCCGTGAAGCCTCGCGTTGCCGCATTCGGGCCCTTCGAATTGGGCGATCCCGGGAGGAAGACGTGCTTTGCTAGACTGCGACTGTGCTGACATCTGGGCTGGTTCTGTGGAGCTTCTAAATGTGGTTGGAAGTATCTCTAAAAGAGGGAGCTAGTGTCAGGGTTACACTCTGCCTTCCTCAGCGCTCTCTGTACGTGTCTGGCTGGAGCGCCCCTGGTCGGGTTCTTTTCCCTTTTCATCCTCTGGGGACAGAGGACGGGATTGAATTTACAGAAAGGAAGAACTCTAGGCAGGGAGAGAAGCCCAGCACTGTCAGAGACCGTTATCCCCAACCTGTCACATGCTCTAGTAGAGAAATGCATTCTGTACCATTCTTGTTGGTATTAGCATACTTTGGACATACGTAATATACGTACATTTTTGTCTGCTCTGATAGGATACAAGTTTCTTGGAGAAAAGGACTTTCTGGGTTTTTCGTTTGTTTTTTGGCGGGGGGAGGGGGAGCTGTCTTTATATTCTTAGCGCCGTGTTGATTGATTGATGGCAGTTATTCTTGCACATGTTATGTATAAGAAGTAAAGGCGAGGAAATAGAATTGTGACAAATTACTGGAACCTAAGGAGATCCACGTCATTTGGGGAATGCTCGATGTGAAATGATGAAAAGGGCAGTTTCATAGAAGCCTGGGAAGATTTGTATGAACTGATGCAGAGTGAAACGAACAGAACCAGGAAAACAATTTATATGATAACAACAATTTATGGAAAAATGTGGTTGAGGGGCAGCTAGGTGGCGCAGTAGATAGAGCACTAGCCCTGGAGTCAGGAGGACCTGAGTTCAAATTCAGCCTCAGACACTTGACAATTCCTAGCTACATGACCCTGGGCAAGTCATTTAAATTCATTGCCTTTCCCTCCCCCCACCCCGCCAATACATATACATATACATACATACATATATATATATATATATATATATAGTTGAAAGACTTGAGAACTCTAATCAATGAAATGACCATCCATGATTCTAGAGTACTGATGATGATGCTCCTTGCTACCCACCACCTCAGACAGAAGTAATGGCCGCCGGAATGCAGAATGAGACATAAGTTTTTGGACAAGGCCAATGTGGGAATTTTATTTTTGCTTTAAAAATGTTTTTTTTTTCATGGGCAGGGGATGCGAAAGGTGGGAGGAAGAAAGAGGCTAGCAATAGGGTTTCTCCTGGCACTCACCACTCCAAAATAGAAAACAGGTGGAAGATCAGAAGAAATCACAAACAATCAGGACAACTTTGAGGATTACACGAATTTATAGTATCCCTTTTTTTTTAAAGCAAGCTCTACATAATAGAGATTTTTCAGTTTCATATAAAATCCTCTCTTGTTCTACAATGTATGTGGAAATAAGCTTGTTTTATTTGATGTTTGTTAAAACTAGAATAATTTTTTTATAATTAAAGAAAGGAGTGGAAGGCTAGGAGAGTTGATTTTTGTCCCATTTGTATTCCAAGCTCATTAAAGACTCCTGCAAAGGATTTCTCTCCATTTCAGCTGCTTCCTGGTGTGTTCTGGGATCTCCTGGTGTACATGGGGCACATCAAACTGCATACATAGTACACTGACTCCAAAAGAAAAAAGGGTGGGATTATTAGTGTTGCAGGGCCTCTAACTCCAAATCAAGAGCTCCTTCCAGTATATTACAAAGTGTGCTACAAAAATTATGCTGCTTGTGACTGGGTTTAAAAATGGCAAAATGTTCTGATGAACAAGTGGTTGTATAACAGATACCTATGCTAAGAGAATTTATTCTATTTATTTATTCTAGATTTATTAAATGATGTGGCTAAAATTCTCATTCTCATGTGTTCATATTTAATGGTAAATGAATTACCATGGAAAAGTTGAATTATTCAGAACAAGAATGTAACTCAATTGAAAGTTTAAAAAAAATTGAAAGTACAATTACAATCAAGCTGCTGATTTTGATTATAATTAAATTTTGATTATATTTAAATTTGATTTAAATTATATTTAAGATTTGATTATAATTAAATTTTGAAATAATTAAATATTCTAGTCTAGATATAGTGATAATCTATAAAAATGTATTCTATATAAATGTTAAATGAAATACTAGCTTAAATACAAAAAAAAAATTCATAGCATCCCTGAGGGTTTTTCATTTCTGTTATATAGCCTTGATATTACCAGAAAAATAGAGAAATTAAATTGGACTGGCAATAAAATTAATACTAATTATTACAAACAGTATTTTATGGTACCAATTTCTAATTTGCTGCAGAGCAACATGAATACTCTGCCCTGAATTCATAATTCATAAACAAAAAGATAACAGTTCAATATAAAATGAAGTATTTATTGAATTTTATACAAAAATTTGACATATTCCATAGAAAACTACCTGTTTATAAACAAATGCATAAAACAGCCATCAGGTGAATTTATGTGCTAAAATACCATAAAAAAAACTTTACAAATACAGCCAATTATAAGTTCATTCAGGCTCTTATTGTTTCATTTGGGAATTAAACCCTTTGCTTCTTTTCCTCTCAGGGGCTTGTATTGCTTGACCTGTTCCCAGTGTATTCATATTTTAACTAGAAGGCAGATGTGAAATAAGAGGCATTTGGTAAATTATGGCAAATATAAATGAAGCCAATTTTTATTCTAAATGTTAGCGAGCACTGAAAAGTTTGATGGTTTTTAAGGACCAAAATTAAATGGAGAATCTCCTATGGACAATCCTTAACTCAACACCAAGGAAACATGTTTTCCACCCCTCAGCACCACACCATCCATATGTGGAGCCATTGATTACAGCAAAGAACTTTTGAATGTTGTGGGTAAGTTCACTTTTACCTTGGCAGTATACTTTCCAGGGATATCCACATAGATGTTGAAGTTGACTCAGGCATTGCCTGAGCTAGCTCAGCATTTGGAAAGCTCCGAAAGAAAATGAAGGAGATAAGAGGTTTTAGGCTACATGCTAGACTGAAGGTCCTCACAGCCACTGTGCTGACTTCATTGTTGTTTGTGAAACCTGTACAGTATACCAGCATCATGCCAGAAAATTGAACTACTTCCATTTGAACTGTCTTAGGAAGATTCTGAAGATTACCTGGCAAGATAAGGTATCAGACACTGAGGTCCTCTCTCGAGCTAAACTGCCAAGCATTCAAACTCTACTGCAGAGAGAGCAACTCTGATGGACTGGCCAAGTAGCTCAAATGCCAAACACACACTTACCTAAAAGATTATTTTATAGAGAATCCACACAAGGCAAGCTCTCAAATGGGGGGTAAGGGGGACAGAAGATGTAAGGACATTCTCAAGGTCTCTCTGAAGAACTTTAATGTTGATAGTAAGACACGGGAAACGCTGGCACAGAACCACCCAGCATAGAGTGCTCACATCAAAGAAGGCACTGTTCTATGAGCAAAGCAGTCGCAGCAGCATAAAGGAAACATGAGATGTGCAAATCTAGAGATACCTTCGTTCCAAATGTTCAGGCAGACTTTTTGTGCCCAGCCTGTGGTAGAGCCTTCTGAGCTTGTAGTGGACTGATCAGCACAGTGGAACACATTGTACCTTGATCCTCACATCATAATATTGGTCCTCTTCAAGTACAAAGGACAAATAACAACAATGGATAATCAAAGGTTAAATATAGCTATTTAATCTTTATTTGGAATATGAATCTTTATTTATAAGATAGGGACACATTCAAAGAACATGTTAGGATTAAAGCTAGTTAATGTTGAGATGCATCCAAAACCTTTGCAGATTGAAGCAAACCTCAGGAGGGAAAAAAAAAATCACTAACAAAGAATTGATACAGCAAGTTAGGCAACAAGCTTGTATTAAATTCCTATGCGTTAGGTACTGTGCAAAGCATTGGTAGATGATGACTAAGTATGAGAGAAAAAAATCCAAAGATCTATTCCTAACACTATAATTAACTTATTTTGCCCTAGACTCTTCATTTGATCCTCAGAAACTATTTTTTCTGATATCCCTAATTGGAATGTTGATGGAAAAGGCACTGGATAGAGTCAGAAGACCTGGGCTCCATCACAGAGAATCTTGGAGTTACCAAATTAATAGTTGTCTGTCCTTAGGCAACTAAAAAATTGAGCCTTTGTTTCCTCATCTGTAAAATGAGAATAACAATATCAGATAGTAGTTGGGAGAAATTATCAATTTGTTAATATATATATGAAAGTGCTTTGTAAGATATAAAATGTTGCACAAATACAATTATTTAACGTTATCGAGTTGGACATTATTTACTGGGCAAAATTTATATAGAGTTTTTTTCTATTACAGATTTATTATCACATTAAACAATTTTTCAGTAGATTTGTGATCTTATCAACATAGGCATTGGTGAGATTCTTTACACAAGAACACATAAACAGAATAGCTACTGTCCATAGCAAAATAGGATACCATGATAAAGAGGTAGCATCCTGTAGTGGGATGAACACGTGGCAGAGACAGAAGACCTGGATTCTATCACTACCTCACTGTGTGCACTTGTACTTGTCACTTCTCTCTAAGCCTTAATTCCCTTATAAAATGATGATGTTGGTCTAGTTGATCCTTCATTTCAGCTTTAAAACTACAATTCTATGCTTTCTTTAATAGAAATAATTTGCTAGGCTCAAACTATAAAACAAATTGCATCTATTGCCAATTAAATAGACATTCTAACATGCCTGCTATGTACAGAGCACGGTCTTGCCTGAGACATTAAGTATAGATAAGACAGTCTTAGTT